GGTCGGAAAGGAAGATGTATTGGTAATCAGATATAAGAATGTGCCCCAATAGAGAGTGCTTTTCATTTTGAGAGGTGTCACAGAACAGGATATAATCACCTTGGATAGACTGGAGTTAGTTATCTTTATTTATACAGGTTAGATAGTGAAAGACTCTTATTAGTATAGAAACCGTCTTCCTCAACTCCCATCAACTTTTCCTCACGTTCAACTCTAACCTCTTCAACCTTCTGACTTCGCTATCAATCTCAATGAAACCTTGCACAACTTTGGCATCTTGTTCAATCCTCAACTTTCACCCTTCACATTTGGACCCTAACTAAGGCTGCCTTATTTCCCATCTCTGTCCCTACATCACACCAAATGCCATCAAGATCCTTCTTCATGATATTGTTATTTCCCACCTAGACTTTTAAAATGTGCACGTCACTTGTCTCCCTAGTTCCACCATCCATAAGCACCAGCTAATACAAAACTCCATTTCCCACATCCTCACTCCTCAGATGCAAGGATTATTATTATTATTATTAACTTTAACCCCATTTTGCTGCAACCCCTGTGCTTGGCTAACTAGGACTAGCTGCAGGTCCCTTGGAACATCCACACCATGATCAGTGGCTGAGGCTTCATTTACCTCTTTACCTAACCTCTGGAACCTACTCCCTATAACCCTCTGCTTCACCCACCCCCACCCGACCCCCATCTAGTTTTAAGTCCAACCTTAAAATCTACCTCTTCAACGTCACCTCACTCCCCTTCTCCCTTGCTCAACCTTTGACCCAATGATTGTGAAGTGCTCTGAAGTGTGCTGTAGAAATGCAAATTGTTATTGGCAGAAGGATTCATTACAAGACGGCACAGACTTAAATTCAGAGCCAAGATAGTTGAAACTGAAGTCACAAGCATTTCTTCTGTGCAGGTGTGCAGAAACCAACACATGGATACCAATATTTGAGCACCTTAGCATGCCAAAGTGCTTCACAAGATTTATTGTAGAGTATAGTAACTGCATATTTGTACGCAAACATGACAACCAATTTTGTGCACAGCAATGTCTCAAAAACAATTTTATCGATTTGTTTATCTGGCTAGGAGACCAGGAGAAACCAGAGAGTAATTAATAACTGGAAGAGATTTCGAAGAAGGATAATTGAAGCCAAGACATTGGGCTCATTTTAAAAAAAAAAGCTGTATGCTGTATTGGAAGACAATACACTGGGTATTCTGGAAGGATAAAATCAGAAGGGCTGAAGGGCCTTCTTCATCTAAATCAATCTTGTCAATGTCTGATCCGAAGAATGTTACCTCTGACACTGCGGTGCTCCACCAGCTCCATGTTGTAGATTTCAGGCTAGATTGAATTCAAATTCCCAAGTGGAGCTTGAATTGACATCCTTCTTGTAATGTGGAGTCAGAGGCAGGTGTTATTTTAAGCATGTTGGTCATTTATTGAATTAGAGAATAGAACATACACATCCTAGGCCTCACCTCACATCAATCACTGCCTCTCTACTTGCCATGATCTTTTGGTGGGATTTTTGCTTTCTCTAATATATATACTTCCAAATACAATAACATTTTCTACATTAATATTTTTCTTATCTATCTTAGCCCCCCTTTTTTTTTCCAAAATTAGAGTGATATTGTTTGAACCATTGGTTCTGATTTATTTTTGCTCAGTCTATCTGGCTGCGCTTGGGTTGGTACTAGTTCTCCTCTAGTCTTTGCTGTCGAATTTCTGGACTCACTGGTTTTCTGGGGTGCCATCTTTTTGGCCTGGATTGTGGCTTTGTTTTTTCTTTTATACACTGGTCTTTAATACCTTTTAAATATCTTTTTGCTTTTATACCTTCAAGACCTATCTCAAGACCCTCCTCTTCGATCGTGCTTTTGATCTCCCTGCTTCCCGCCTGCCCTCCACCCTCCCGAACCCTGAACCCCAGCTCGGGTCCGAAACTCTGTCTAGCCAGCATCTTGGGACATCCTCCCGATGTGAAAGGTGCTTTACACATGTAATTTTGTTGTTGTTGTTGTCTTTAACCATGCATCATCATGGTTCATTTCGTGCTTTTGCTATAATTTTACTTTTGGGACATGTCGCAATGTTTTTTTTCTTAAGCTTCGCCGGTTGCTTTAATTTTTTTTCTCTTTCTGTCTGTCTATTGTACTGTTTAGCCATACTTTAGTGATACTTTCTGATTTCCTTCTGGAATCTTTTGACCATCTTGGGTCACAGTTTGTGGTATCCATAAAAGTTGTGTAACTTCCTTCATCTGTCTGGGCATCAGTAGCTGCCCCATCCTGATGTGTTCCTGTGAGCGAGCAGAGCTAAATGCTTGTCCGATACACCTGCAGCTGTTTTCTTCAACATTTTCTTTGCTGTTTGGATCATTTGTTCTATACAGCCGTTACTTTGTGGCTGATATATTTTATGTTCCAGTCCTCTATGAATTGCTTGCAATCTGTTGATGAAAATTATAATAATAATAATCTTTGCATTTGATGTAGTGCCTTATCACGTCTTCGAGAAGTCTCAAAGCGCTTCACAGAGTATACTGTAAAGTGTAGTGACTGTATATTTTGTGGGCAAAATTTGTGGATTTGAATTGTAGTCCTTTATCACTTGTTTTTTCTCTAAGTATGCCATGCCAGGCAAAAGATTGTTTTGTTTAATGGATAAAGTCCTTTCATATAATTGTGGAGTTCTGTAGCCCGGTGGTTAGAGCACTCGCCTCACAAGCGAGAGACCTGGGTTCGATTCCCGGAAGGGGGTGAAACCTTGGGCAAGTTTCCTTACTCCACACGCCTAATAATACCTCAAGAAAAAAAAACAATAATAAATTGGTCACTTCAATCCACGGCTGTTTCTGGGGACGCTGCTGTGCACACTTGGCTGCCGCATTTCGCCCACAAATATACAGTCAATTCACTTTAGAGTATATTCTGTGAAGCGCTTTGAGACGTTGAGAAGACATGAAAAGCGCTATACAAATGCAAGAATTATTATTATTATTATCATTGGATCTGTTTTGTCATGCCTGGCTAGAAATACCACTCAAGCCCTTTGTTTAGCGCTTTCAACACCCTAATGTCCGATATGCAAATCTTGCATGATGCTGTGCTGCACGGTTGTGGTATTAATATCCTGCATCCTTTTTAAGTATAGTTAATTCATTTTTATATGGATCTTCCTTGCAGTTCCAATAAACCTTAATTGTGTCTGGAATTCATTTCCTTTCTTTTGGTCATTCTTTCCGAACACCTAAAGTCCAGGACCTCTTGCTCTGCAGTTTGTTTATTTCCATAATTTGGGTTAATATTGTTATTTTGTGCTCCATTTTCTCCCTGAGTATGATCTCTGGCATCCTTCAACTCTTATGTGTAAAAGAAAATTCTAAGTTCTCCTTTCATTCTTCTTTTGTTGCCTTATATCTATGTCCTCCAGTCCTCCATCAGTGGATATAGGTTCTCAATTTAAACCCTTTTTTGGTCTTGAACATCCACATCAAGTGCCTCTCAATTCTCTTTGCTGTGAAACTTCAAGATCCTCACTCTCATGTTCAAATCCCTTCCCTCCCTGGCCCCTCCCTCCCTCACTCCCTCCCTCTCCAACCTCCTCACTCCCCAATCCACCACCCGGAGCCTCCGCTCGACTTGGACAGGTTCCTGCTCGTCCCTCACACCCTCCACACCACCATCGGAGGTCGCGCTTTCAGCCACTACACCCCAAAAGTCTGGAACCCTCTCCCTCAATCCCTCCGCCTTGCCCCCTCTCTCCCCTTTCTCAAATTGTGCCTAAAAACCCTCCTCTTTGACTGTGCTTACGGCCAACTCCCCCGTCCCCCATCTTCCTGGCTCAGAGTCAGGCTCCGCCACTATTAAGCCTCTGAGATGCTGCCCTGAGTATAGGGCGTTATATAAGTGCAAGTTGTTGTTGTTGTTGGAATACATCAGTCTACATTGCTCTGTCACTGATCACCCTGAAAGCAGAGTTAACCTCACAACAGGCATGTCTGTTTGGCCAAGCCCCTGACAAGCAGACATGAATTAATCAGTTGGAGTTGAGTAAGCTTGGTGTTGGACCGGGACCTCTGGAGCATTGAGATGATTGATACTAGCTCTCCTGTATAGGTCCTTCTACCAAGCTGAAGGCAGAAGTCCATCGAATAGCTAATGAGATGTGAGATAATGAGATAATGTGGTCTGAGAGGCTATCCTGTGAGAAAGGTGCTATATAAGTGCAAGTTATTGATGCGAAAAATCAGCTTTGCGACAACAGTTGACGGAAGATGTTACCTGGAGTCAGGGTTTATGATCATACATTGATATAGCCAGGGTTTGTTTTCAACGGTGATTGATATACAGAGAGGTACGTAGCTGAAGCTCTGCACTTCCATCTGGTGTAAAACATTGTTCATTGGTACTCTTAAGAATAGTGGTAGGTTTCCACTCATGTCACACATCTTGCTGACCAAAATCAAAACACACTTTATTGCAAATAGAGCAAGTTCACATTTAGTACATTTAAGTTTTCAAATGGCATCAAAATATGTTTGAATTGAACAGGATATCAATGCCACATAAAAGACATCCACTTCCCAAGCATAAAGACAGTGCCTTTTAATAATAATAGTCCTTACATTTGATACAGAGCCTTATCACATCTTTGAGACGTCTCAAAGCACTTCACAGAATACACTGTAAAGAGAATTGACTGTATATTTTGTGGCCAAAATGTGGCAGCCAATTGCGCACAGCAGCGTTCCACAAACAGTCGTGGATTGAGTGACCAAATTATTATTATTTTTGAAGGGATCCATCCATCCATCAATCGACTAATAACCTGGTTCCTACTTATTGCTAGGTAAACAAGGGGCGTGTGGAGTAAGAAAACTTGCCCAGGAATCAAACCCAGGCAGGATGAAACGTTAAGTATTAACTGTTTATTATTTTGTTTTCACTCCTAATTTTTGATTTAGTGATTTTCTACCTTTGCTCAGGTGCCCGCTACTGGATTTATGATGGAGAAAATCAGGTATCAGGGCCCAAATTTATCTCTGAACTGGGGCTCTCTGCCAATGGGATTGAAGCAGCCCTGAAATGGGCCTTAGAGAAGAATGAAAAGATTCTGTTTTTTAAAGGAAGTGATTACTGGCGATTCAACATGAACACAAACCATGTGGATAATATTTACCCCAGCAGCATCAATGATTGGAGGGGAATTCCTCACAATATCGATGGGACCTTTCAGGATGAGTATGGTGAGTTGATAAATCAATGACAAATGGTGGAATCTATTCAAATTAATACATAGCAAAACTGATATAAACCTGAAAGGCAAATCTTGTTTCTTTAGTATGAAGCAACTGTTGTCAAATACTTTAGCTGCCATCAATATCAAACAAAAGAAAAAGGCCTATGAAATAGCAAGAATGGAGGTATATACGGATTGAAATTCCATGACATGAACATAGCTATCATAAACAATCTGGATAGTAAAGCTATAAGTTTAATTGCTCTGAAACTGTAACAATGAGGTTTTCCATTTTCTCAGTCTTCTCTAAAATGTTCCAAATATCATGACTACCATAGCCAATCAGGAGCTGATTCCTCATTGAGGCTCTGGGGCCCCATTAACAAGCAGAAGGTGATGATAACCCAATGGATGGTTCAACCATATGTACCATATATACACCCATTTCAATAGGATAGATGAGCACATACATCATTAGAGGAGGAGCCAGCAAGGTAGGACAGGGACTAAGCAAGAAGCCAACATTTATGTTGAGTTTATTGTTCACCCAAAAGTCGCAATGTTCATTTCAAGGTCTAGTCGTATGAGATTTATTGCTTCATTGGAAGTATAAGCTTCTGCAGAATGAAGGCTTGAAAGTGGAGAAGTGGTGATTGTTTTTAGAAGTACAGGTGCGTGAAGAAAGAGAGAGTTTGATTGTTTGTGATCCAGAAAGCACTGCTGAATGGTCTCAATGAACGTGAAGTGTGAACAAGACACAGAGACAAAGGTAAGAATAAGCAGACAATGATGGGATGCCTAATTAGACAATGACAGTGATAAATTAGTGGCAGCTATTGACTATATATTTCGCCCACAAAATATACAATCAGTTTACTTTACAGTATATTCTGTGCAGCACTTTGAGATGTCCAGAAGACATGATACCAAATGCAAGGATTATTTGTTTATTATTATTTATATTGCAGTAAAATGGACAACAATATAGTTAATGTCCTCTATAACTTTCTATAATCTCATCAGAGGAGAACATCCGAAACAAGAGGTACCATTGACTAGCATCCTTCTAGTTGTTTTGCCAGGTAAAGGGAGTGGGAGCCATTCTACTCCTGCAGCTTTGGCAATATCGCCTCTTTCACTTCACAAAGAGGAAGATGACATAATGCTGATGGATGGGTGTCAGTGGTGTTGGAAACATCACCACAAAGGCAGTTGAGGGTGTGTATCTGGCAATACAAATAGTAGAATAAACTGAGACAACACCAGGGGATCAGTACTCTGAGCTTGTAAATGTAGTACATGGCCTGCTACCTGGCTCAGTAACTGACCCAGATATTATTCAGGAATTCAAGTCTTTATCTTGAACTCAGCTCAATAATATTCAGTTGACTTGGGAAATGGCTCAAACATGCAATTTAGATGAACAAACTTCAGGGGAATGAAGACTCAAATAAGTGACACACCTTATTTATCAGATGAGGATAATCGAAAATCATAGAATCATACAATAGTACAGCACAAAAAGAGGCCATTCGGCCCATTGAGTCTGTGCCGGCTCTTTGAATAAAGCAATGTAATGTCAATCCCACTCCCCAGCCCTTTCCCCATAACCCACACAGAGCCTAATAATAATCCCTCCAAAACCAAAGACAATAATAAATTGGTCATTTTCAATCCCCGACTGTTTGTGGGGCACTGCTGTGCGCAATTGGCTGCCGCGTTTGCCCACAAATATACAGTCACTTCGCTTTACAGTGTGTTCTGTGAAGCGCTTTGGGACTTCCTCCCGACGTGAAAAGCGTTATATCAAATGCAAGGATTATTATTATTATTATAACCCTGCAGACCTGTCTAACTGAGGCCTAACCAGTGTTTATATGGGTTAATCATAACCTCCTGACTCTTGTACTCTATGCCCCTATTTATAAAGCCCAGTATCCCATATGCCCTTTTTACAGCTTTATCTCCCTGTCCTGCCACCTTCAAGGATTCATTTACCTGCCCCCCCAGGTCTCTCTGTTCTTTTACCCCCTTAAGATTGTATTACCGCCTATATTGCCCCTCATTCTTTCTACCAAAATGCATTACCTCACATTTCTCCACAATGAAACTCATCTGCTATGTGTCGCCCATCTTACCATCTGTCTATGTCTTCCTGCAGTCGGCTCCAATCCTTCTCACTGTTTACCCCCTCCCAACTTTGTGTCCTCCGCAAACTTGGAAATGGTACTTCCTATACCCAAGTCCAGATCATTTATGTATATTAAGAAGAGCAGTGATCCTAATACCGATCCCTGGGGGACACCACTGTACACTTCCCTCCAGTCAGAAAAGCCGCCGTTCACCACAACTCTCTGCTTTCTGTGTCCCAGTGAGTTCTGGATCCGCTGCCACTGTCCCTTTTATACCGTGGGCTTCTATCTTTCTTACAAGTCTTTCATGTGGCACTTTGTCAAATGCCTTTTGAAAGTCCATATAAACTACATCAACTGCACTACCTTTATCCACCCTCTCCGTTACCTCATCGAAAAATTCTATTAGATTTGTTAGACAAGATTTGCCTTTAACAAATCCGTGCGGCTGTCCCTAATTAACCCATATTCTTCTAAGTGAAGATTTATTCTTTCCCGGATTATAGTCTCCAGGAGTTTCCCCACTACTGATGTTAGGCTGACTGGCCTGGAGTTCCCAGGTTTGTCCTTCTGTCCCTTTTTGTACAGGGAGTCACATTGGCCACTCTCCAGTCCTCGGGCACCACTCCTGTGTCCAACGAAGATTGAAAAATTGTAGCCAAAGCCTCCGCTATTTGTACCCGTCCCTCCCATAGTAACCTTCGCTGCATCCCGTCCGGACCGGGTGACTTATCACATTCAGCCTAAAAAACCTTTTCAGTACTTCCTCTCTGTTTATACTTATCCTATCCATTTCCTCTACCCTCTCCTCCGATACTGCGGCATTTGGTGCATCCACTCCTTTTGTGAAGACAGATGCAAAGAACTCATTCAGCACATCAGCCATTGCCCTCTGCCTCCACAGTAAGATTGCCCCCTTGGTCCTTAATTGGCCCCACCCTACCTTTGACTAACCTTTCTTTCTTGATATGTTTGTAAAATATTTTAGAATTCCCTTTTTAATGTTACCCGCTAACCTTTTCTCGTATAATCTTTTCCCCCTCTTACGCCTCCTTTTTCTGCTTCATTCTAGATACAATTACCTTCGTCATCCAGGGAGGTTTGGATGCCCTACGTTTCCCTTTTGTGGGAAGTTATTTGTTCTGTCCCCGAGCTATCTCATCCTTGAAGACTTCCCACTGCTCTTTAGTTGTTTTACCTGCCAATCTTTCTTTCCAGTCCACCTTGGCTCGGTCCCTTTTTAATTTACTGAAATTTGCCCTCTTCCAGTTGAGTATCTTCACCTTAGATGGTTCCTTGTCCCTTTCCATATGCACTCTAAATCTAGTGATGTTATGATCACTATTGCCCAAATGCTCTCACACTGAAACCTCTCCACTTGCCCTACTTCATTCCCCTAAACTAGATCTAGCACTGCTTCCTTCCTTGTTGGGCTGGAAACGTACTGATCAAGAAAGTTGTCCTGTATGCATTTTAGGAATCTTTCCCCCTCCTTGCCTTTTGCGCTGTTGTTTTGTCAGTCTATGTTGGGAAACTTAAAGTCCCCCATTATCACGACTCTATTGGCCTTGCATCTGTCTGAGATCTGCTTGCAGATCTGCTCATCTATTTTCTTCCCACTATTTGGTGGTCTATAGTATACCCCTACCAGTGTAACAGCTCCTTTTTTGTTCCTTAACTCTAACCAGGTAGATTCCGTTTGGGGGCCCTCCAGCACCTCGACCCTTTCCACAGCTATAACTTTGCAAGTGAGATACCTGAGTTCAGTTCCCGGCAGAGGGCGAAACCTTGGGCAAGTTTCCTTACTCCACACAGAGCCTAATAATAATCCCTCCAAAACCCAAAACAATAAGAAATTGGTCATTTTCAATCTACGACTGTTTGTGGGACATTGCTGTGCGCAATTGGCTGCCGCGTTCGCCCACAAATATACAGTCAATTCACTTTACAGTGCGTTCTGTGAAGCGCTTTGGGACGTCCTCCCGACGTGAAAAGCGCTATATCAAATGCAAGGATTATTATTATTATAAAACCATATCCTTGATTAACAATGCCATATCCCCTCCTTTTCTTTCTTCCCTATCCCTCCTGAATACATTCTAGTCAGGAATATTCAGCTCCCATTCCTGTCCTTGTTTGAGCCAAGTTTCTGTTACTGCTACTACATCGTATCCCCCTATGACCACTTGAGCTGCAGCTCACCAGTCTTGTTTGCTAAACTCTGTGCATTCAGGCGCATGCACTCCAAGACCGACTTGACCTGTTCTGCATTTCCCCCCTGTTTTAATACCCCATTTTCTAGCTCTTCGTTTTTTGCATTCCTTTCCCCCCTCAAAACTGGTTTAAACTCTCCCCAACAGCATTAGATAGCCTGTCTGCAAGGACAGGGACAGGACAGGGCCCCAGCCCTGTTTAGGTGCAACCCATCCATGTGGTACAGGTCCCATCTGCCCCAGAACTGGTCCAAATGATTCAGAAACCTGAAGCCCTCTTCTAAATCCTTAAACAAACATACCCAATTACAACAGAGGCAACTTAAAGAAGAACATGCCAAAAGGGATCAATAGGAAAATTAAAAGAGAGATAAAGAGAAAAAGGAAGGTTAATAAAACTGATAAGGAGAAAGAGAAAGTGATCATAGGGCTAAGTATAAGACTATACAGAAAGAACATAGTAAAATCATACAAGGCAATTTGAAGTTTCTCATTGATGTAATAGGGTTCTGTGGCAAATGCAAGGATTATTATTGTTGAATCAGTCCCCAGTATTGGAGGAATGAGCTAGGAGCAATGATTAGACAAGCTCGGGCTTTTCAGTCTTGAGAGAAGACAAATCAGAGGAAACCTCAGAGGTGTATAACATCTTAATTGGGATTGAAAAAGTAAACCAAGACAATACTTTTGGATGTACCAAGATACAGACGACAACAACAAAAACAACAACTTGGACTTATATAGCGCCCTCCACACCGGACGGCATCTCAGAGCGCTTTACAGTAACGGATCCTGGGGCTGAGCCAGGGGAGGGGGAGGAGCCAGGGGAGGGGGAGGAGCCATGGGGAGGGGGAGGAGTCGGGGGAGGGGGAGGAGCCAAAGGGAGGAGCCAGGGGAGGGGGGAGGAGTCAGGGGAGGGGGTGGAGCCAGGGAGGGGAGGCGGAGCCAGGGGAGGAAGGTGACCAAAGGTGCGGTCGAAAAGAAAGGTCTTCAGCTGAGACCTGAAAATGGGAAGGGAGGGAGTGAGACGAAGGGAGTGAGGAAGGCAGTTCCAGAGCCTCAGGGCATAGTGGCTGAAGGCACGGCCACCGAGGGTGGAGTGGAGGACTCAAAGGACAAGGAGGAGGCCAGACCCGGAGGAACGAAGGCAACAGGTACTGTTTTGAGGAGAGAGGAGGTCAGAGAGGTCGGGGGGTGCAGAGGAGTGGAGGGATTTGAAGACCAGAGTGAAGATCTTGAAGTGGATCCTCTCTGGGACAGGAGCCAGTGCAGTCTGGCCAGGACTGGGGGGGATCGGGGAGCGGAGTTTGGTGCGGGTGAGAATGCAGGCGGTAGAGTTTTGAATGATTTGGATTTTATGGATGGTAGTGGAGGGAAGACCGGTGAGGAGGGCGTTAGAGTAGTCCAGCCGAGAGGTGACAAAGGCATGGACCAGGGTTTCAGTGGTTTTTGGGGAGGGGTATTGGCAGAGACGGGCGATGCGTCGGAGGTGGTAGAAGGCAGTGCTGGTGAGGGACCGGGTGCGGGGGAGGAAGGATAATTGGAGGTCGAGCCTGACGCCTAGGTTGCGTACGGGTTCGGAGAGTTTTAGAGGGAGGTCGGGTAGGTTGAGGAGGTGAGAGCTGTGAGATTTTAGACGTTGATGAGAGCCAAAGAGTATGGCTTCCGTCTTGTCAACGTTCAGCTGAAGGAAGTTTGCGCTCATCCAGCCCCTGAGATCTGACAGGCAGAACATCAGGGGACTGGGGGTCGCAAAGAGAGGTGGAAAAATAGAGTTGGGTGTCATGTGAGTACATGTGGAAGTGTACCCCATGGGAGGGGAGCATGTAGATCAGAAAGAGGAGGGGGCCAAGGATGGATCCTTGGGGTGCCCCACAGGTGACCAGGTGAGAGCGGGAGGAGAAGCCGTTTGTGCAGATGTACTGCTGGCGGTTTGTGAGGTAGGACTCGAACCAGGTGAGTGCGGTCTCACTGAGGTGGATGACGGAGGAAAAGCGGTGGAGGAGGATGGCGTGATCGACTGTGTCGAACGTGGCAGAGAGGTCCAGGAGGACAAGGAGGCAGAGGGAGCCCTGGTCACAGATAGAGAGGATGTCGTTTGTGACTTTCACAAGCGCAGTCTCTGTACTGTGGGCGGAAACCGGACTGGAGGGGTTTGAAGAGGGAGTGGGAGGAGAGGTGGTTGATGATGTCAGCCAGTAGTGGGCAGAGGAGGGGGAGCTGGGTGACCAGCAAGTTGGTGCTGAGGGGGTCGAGCAGCAGGTGGTGGGTTTGATGGAGGTGATGGTGGGTGAGAGGGAGGAGGGAGAGATGGGGAGAAAGGAATGTAGGATGGGGGTGGTGGTAGGAGCAGATGATGGGGAAGGTGAGGGAGACAGAGAAGGTGCGGTGTTGGGTGACAAGAGGCAGGTGGATGAGGCTGCCTGGCAGATGTTGTGAATTTTAGATGAAAAGAAGTCCATGACCTCCTCGCACTTGGCATTTGATGTGAAGATTGAGGAGGCCTGAGGGGGGGCACGGAGGAGGTAGTGGGTGGTGGAATAAAGGATTTTAGGGTTGTGTTTAGCCTCCAGGATGATGTTGGAGTAGAAGCCGTTTTTGCGCGTGTCAAGGAACGGCGGTAGCTGTGGAGATGCTCGAGCCACAGTTGGCAGTGGACTGTCAGGCCAGTTTTCCGCCATCTGCACAAGACATAGGTTTAGGACAATTTCAGGACAGATACCAAGAAGTTTTTCTTTAATCATATGGTAATTAATGCCTGGAACAGATTGCCAGGAAGGAGCAGGAGATTGGACTCATTAGAATCATAGAATCGTACAGCACAACATGAGGCACACGGCCCATTGTGCCTGTGCCGGCTCTTTGAAAGAGCTTCCCAACCAGTCCCACTCCCCCACTTTTTACCCCTTGCACATTTTTTTCTTTTTAGACACCTACCAATTCCCAATTCCTCTTTAAAAAGCTTTGAAAAAGGTAAACCAGCAAACGCAAACACAATTTCCCCCCAAAAAAGTTTAAGTACTGTGTTCAGCTTTGGGCTCCCAATCCTAGGAGGAATATACTAGACTTGGAGCGTGTCCACTGATGGTTCTCTTGATTACTACATAGATTAATGAGGCTGATATTGGTAAGTATTGTAATTTAAAGATCTGACAAGATTTAATAAACCGGTGTAACAGGTTTGATGAGCTGAATTGCCTTCTCCTGTTTTCTTATGTTTCTATTTATAATGGACATTGAGACTCAGTTGGTAAATTCACTCCCCAGTTGTATGCCCAATGCAGATCTGAAAGGTCTGACATTTAATCCCAGGTCTCTTCAGTGCTGAGCACAGCTGTGATGCCAGCAGGTCCAATAACATGAGCCTCAACACTCTGGGACAGGGATAGATACAACAACAACAACATTCCATTTATAAAGCGCCTTTCACGTCAGGAGGACGTCCCAAGGCGCTGTACAGTTGGGTCAGGACCCGAGCAGGGGGGAAATGGTCAGGGTGAGGGGAGGGAAGGGAGGGAGCGAGGAGGGGGGAAATGGTCAGGGTGAGGGGAGGGAAGGGAGGGAGCGAGGAGGGGGTAGAGAGTCGAGAGGGGAGCTGAAGGCTCGGTCAAAGAGAAAGGTTTTGAGACCGGCCTTGAAGGAGGAGAGGGAGGAAGCGGCGAAGGCACTGGGGGATAGAGTTCCAGAGCCTAGGGGCTGAGAGGCTGAAGGCCCGACCACCGATGGTAGGGCGATTGGGGCGGGGGACGTGGAGCAGACCGGAGCCGGAGGAACGGAGGGTACGGGTAGGTAGGTAGGGGGATAGTAGGTTGGAGAGGTAGGAGGGAGCAAGGCCGTGAATGGCCTTGTAGGTGAGGATGAGGATCTTGAAATCAAATACATTCCTGATTGTTACCCACTCCAGTTGAAAGTTGCTGGAAAGTACACATAGATGTATTTCAGATTTGGGCCTACCTATCACAATCTGTCAGCAGTTATTGTCTGGCCAGTTACACATATGGGTTGAATTTACACATCAGTTCAATGCACGCATTGTTCATTGTAAATCACAATAGCAAATGAATAACAACTTTGCCTTTGCTCTGTTGCTAACTCTAATCTTACCTCTGCAGGTTATGCTTATTTCCTCCAAGGGAGATACTACTGGAAATTTGACCCAATTCAGGTGAAGGTACAAGATGGATATCCACGTCTGATAGGCCAGGACTTCTTTGGATGTGCCCCCTCCCCCCATCCATACAGATGATTCTAAATCACCCTCAAAGCTGGTGGAGTAACCTCATGAAACTCATCAGAATCCGATCCCAAAGTATTCCTGTATAGCTTAATTTGGGATTTGATCGCTGAGCAGATATATGATTTACTCGTTTAAAACTTTCCCATTTTCTTTCCTGGGATTCTTTATTTTGGACATTAATTTAGATTTCAATTAATCATCGTCGTGTAACGGATGGGAGATGTTGACTGTTAGAAGCTGGAATAAGGACGTTCATACAGCTTCATGTGTTTTTATTGAGTACTTGTGTGACCTCTTTGGTTTAGATAATATCTTCCTCTCTGTATTTGCTTTTTGAACAAATAATTATTGCTCCTTTTCTGTTCAAATACTTCATCACAATTCTTAGAGACTTCAGGGATTTTTCTATAGAAATTGTGTCTTCAGCCAAGTAGGACTAATCTCATTAAATATGTGATAAATACTTTGCCTATCACACTATGCGAAATTCTGACTTTTCCTGTAAAATACCTTGTTTTTAATTTTATTTTTCGTCACAGTATATGCTTCTGTGACTCAGTTCCACTCCAAAAAGGATGTTATTCAAGAACTTGAATCATGTCAGATCATGTCCTGAAAGCCATTACATTAGGCTCCGCCACTGTTAAGCGCTCCGCGACGCTGACCTACGTGAAGGGCGTAATGTAAATACAAGTTGTTGTTGCCTCTACCCCCTCCCCACCCAGCTGTTGTTGTTTGTGCATTTGTGCACGGAACTCTTACTCGGAACTCTTACCCCTGCCCATGTGCTCTGCCCGACACTTTTTGACTTGTCACATTTTTTGTGATTATTTCTTATAACCTTTTTTCTTCCCAGAATATTTATGGTTTTTATCATTTTTTGTTCTCTGACCTTCGCTCTCATCCCTTCTTTTTCTTATCGTTAGGTTACTGTTATCTCCACCCGATCCCACCCCCCTTTGCTGATTTAAAGCCCTTTCTACAGCCCTGTTTATCCTTTCCGTTAGGACTTTGGTCCGAGCCCGGTTCAGGTGTAGGTCAGGCCAGCAGTCCAGCTCCTTCCTGTCCTAGTACTGGCCCAGCCCAACCATAACATCACCCACAGGTCAGTGGATAGTCATTAGAAACAGAAAACGTAACCAATTTTGGTCACTTGAGATAAATTGTAATGACCCAACAACTGACATCAGCTAACTCTGCGAAAATTGGTACAAAAACAGCTGAATATGTTGCAGAAATATCACCCACACTGTTGAATAATTTGTTTTGAAAATTGCAGTTAAGTTGGAAAAAATGTGCCAGGCCTCGGTTTCCCTCTCCCTTCCTCTGGGATGATTTGCTTTGAATAAAAACTATTTTTTAAAAATGGCTCACAAGCTAACTGAAAGGTACCCAGCCTGAGACTATTTCATGCAGCCGGGGTGAGGCTTGAGTTTGCTGATCAACGTAGAAGGCACAATATTGACTGCAGTCCCCTGTGAAAACAAATGCTGTGCCAACAGGATCATGTTTACTTCATATCCTTTCCCTGACCCACTGATGAAAGCATTCATTCTGCCTGAGGTCAGACATGATGAATAACCATTTGGGCAAAGTACCAGTGGGTAAGAAACACCAATGGAACTGTAAGCAGCAAAAAGTTAACGGTTTGTTTCCAATCAATTGCCGCTCCTCCCGTCCAGACTCTGGCAATGTTAATGTACGGTCTGCAGTGATTGCTCTGAACCCATTTGCTGGGATGTTCACCCACAAAACAAAAGGTGGTAAATTGGGCAATTTCTAACTAGATCTTCACCACTGTATGGAACTGTGAGAATATTGGTCCAATAAGACACGTGATAATATAATAGTACTGAGACCAAAGTACAAAAGGAACATAATTCTGTCCTATATTTGTGACCATTTATTTGTTACTTTATTATTTATTTCAGCACTCAACAATTTAGATACTTTGGCAGAAACATCCGCACTGAATACAGCATTATTTGCCTCAGTCCTCGCAGAAACTGCTTCTGTTGCTTTATTATTGTGATCTTTTTAGAGAAATCTTTACTATTCTAACAATTATGTGGTAATACAATCGTTGTTACTTTTTTTTACAACTTGATACCTAATATGAGAAATGGACAAATAATTCCTTGGCACAAAGTTCACCAACTTATCATACAGTTCCATAGCCCTGATCAACCCCACTCCCCCCTCTCCCCCCATAGCCTGATCAACCCCACTCCCCCCTCTCCCCCCATAGCTCTGATCAACCCCACTCCCCCGCTCTCTCCCCATAGCCCTACAAACTTGTCCTCCCCAAATAATTGTCTACTTTTCTCTTAAAAGTTGTCATTGAATCGGCTTCCACCAGCCTTTCAGGCAATGCATTCCAGATCAACAACTCGCTGTGTGAAAAGTTCTACAACAACAAGATTACATTTGTATGGCGCTTTTCACGTTGGGAGTACGTCCTAAGGCGTTCTACTCCACAAGTAATAATAATAATAATCCTTGCATTTGATATAGCGCTTTTCAAGTCTTCTCGACGTCTCAAAGAGCTTCACAGAATATACTGTAAAGTGAAGACTGTATATTTGTGGACGAAATGTGGCAGCCAATTGTGCACAGCAGCGTCCCACAAACAGTCATGCATTGAGTGACCAAATTATTATTATTTTTGAAGGGATTATTACATTATCAATTGACTAATAACCGGGTTCGTACTTATTGCTAGGTAAACAAGGGGCGTGTGGAGTAAGAAAACTTGCCCAGGAATCAAACCCAGGCAGGATGAAACGTTAAGTATTAACTGTTTATTATTTTGTTTTCACTCCTAATTTTTGATTTAGTGATTTTCTACCTTTGCTCAGGTGCCCGCTACTGGATTTATGATGGAGAAAATCAGGTATCAGGGCCCAAATTTATCTCTGAACTGGGGCTCTCTGCCAATGGGATTGAAGCAGCCCTGAAATGGGCCTTAGAGAAGAATGAAAAGATTCTTTACTTTATTATTGTTTTGGAGGGATTATTATTAGGTGTGTGGAGTAAGGAAACTTGCCCAAGGTTTCGCCCTCTGCCTGGAATTGAACCCAGGTGCCTCATTTGCAAAGCGAGTGCTCTAACCACTGAGCTACAGGACACCACAAGTGATATGATGTTGTTTTTGAGAATCAGAATGACTGTGAAGATCCTGTGTGTTTCTGACCTGGTAACACTGCAGTTTACATCCAATAGTATTTTCAGGGTCTGGAGTCTCTGGATCAGTCCCCGCTCAGTGCACTTTTGGAGCATCTCTCCCTCTTCTTCCTTCATCATTTCGCAAATGAAGCCCACCACCTGCTCCTTTGACCCCATCCCTACACCCAGACAAACATGGAATCTTTTAACCATCTTGGGTCACAATTTGTGGTATCTATAAGAGTTGTGTCCACACCAACCCCATTCTGATGTGTTCCTGTGAGCTAAATGCTTGTCCGATACATCTATTGCTTTTTTTTTCAGCATATTCTTTTGCTGTTTGGATCATTTGTTCTATACAGCCATTACTTTGTGGCTCGTATGTTTTATGTTCCAGTCCTTTGTGAATTGCTTGTATTGGTCAAAGTGACAAATGACATTCTGTCCATCTGTGATCAGGCCTCCCCTCTGTCTCCTTGTCCTCCTTGATCTCTGCTGCCTTTGATACTTTTGACGACTCTATCCTCCTCCACCTCCTCGCCTCTCACCTCAACCTTCATGGTTCTGTCCTTGAGTGATTCAGATCCTACCTCTCACACTGCCTCCACAAACGGCTTCTCCTCCAACCTGCATGGTATTGTGCAGTGTTCCTCAGGCCTGTGTTCTTGGTCCTCTCCTCTTCAACCTGTACATGCTCCCTCTTGGTGACATCATCCGTTAGATCCGCGAATTATGTGTCTGTATTTGGAGAGAAAAAATCTGATACAAGTAAACTTAAGAAACAAAGAATGGGTTTTTATTTCTACTTGTATACAGGAGCACACAATTGTTCCTGTATACAAATAGGATCTAATGTCTCCGTCAGACAAAAGATCCTCTTCTTCGGTACCAATAAGTTTTATACAGGAGTACACAAAGGAAAGAGAAGGGGTGTTTTTCCTTACAGACCAATCCGGTTTGCTGCATGCGTTCCCACACTTCTTGCAGTTTTGCTAGAAGGCCATTTCTATGTTATCACCCGCCGTTCCTTACACTGTGGCCTTCAGATAACGGAATTCTACAATAACAAGTCTAACCTACTTACTTATGTCTGCTTAAAGGTGTCTACACAGCAATAGGCCAGGGCACAAGCTACGATTTACAATTAAACATACCATAACATCTTTTTCCTCTATCATTCCCTCCTTTTTATGGTATTTTAAACTGATATTTATGTCCTTTTTCTGTACATTACATGCAACCTTTAAGCATAACATCAGTAGTCCGATCCTTCTGCAATTACAGGTTTTAGATCAGACACATCACAGGTGCTTATAGTTTACTCATTCTGCAGAAAAAGTTTTCCCCGGTGCATAGCATGCACTCCTCCAGTGCCTTCTTCAAGCTGAGGTTATCCTCACTAGTCATCGTAAATGTGGCGGCAGGAATAGAAATAGTACTCTGAATAAAGGGAATAATACAACAGCAGCACAGCATGAGAACAACTATTACTATTAACAGGTACATACCTATTATCCATAGCCAAGCTCCCCATCCCCATTCAGAAAGCCACTTACTAAGCCAATCAGAGGGTCTCTGAGGTGCCTTTGTGGCAAACCGCATGTGAGAGATAACATTTGTCAAATTTTGATGACCATCAGGAATAAAGAAACAGCAACTGGTCCCGAGCATTTTGCAAACACCTCCTTTCTCAGCCGTAAGCATGTCTATTATCAGACGGTGTTGCATGATTGCCTTGCGCATGGCTCCCATTTCCCCATCTATGATCCCAACTGCTTCTACCGTCTCATTAGCCAGGGCATGTAACTGAGTCGCTAACCCATTAATTTTGGTCAAGGCACCAGCAGTGCCCACATTAGCCCAGAAGGACCATCCTACCATTTCCCCTTTAGTGGTCCATGGATCCATGGTTGTATATCCATGGTAACTGCCTGTGACGGAGGAGCGTTTGACTCGATTATTGGCCTGGCGTTTGGAACGGGTGTCATGCTCAGCTTCCAGGGGATACACCACAATACCAGTTGTCACAATGGCCGGGTAACAACATCCAGTCCACTGGTTGGGGAGCTGGAGATAAGCAGTCCGTCCGCAAACCCAAACCATTGCCCCCCTACCAGGGTTTCCCAATGTGGAATTGCAGGCCCCTATCCCCATAGTAATGTTATCTTTTTTAATGGTGCATACCTGAGAGGTGAAGTTGGCAATCACTTGTATACTGCAGATACTGTGGCCCACAAGTAACCCCTTGTCCATGTTGGTGCATAGACATGCCTCGCCCTCCTTGTATGGCACCTGATACGTGGGATTGAATCCGGCAATATTATGGGTCTCCAGGCCTGTAAGGCCGTGAGATTATCTCCCGTAGCCTTGTTGTGAGCCAATACCAGCAGTTGGGCCATGTTGTTAGGGATGGTTCCCCCTTTATGTGTAATATTCACATGCTTTACGGTGGACAGGGGAACAACGTGCAGGCGGGAACTCATTTGCTGACAAATCCAGCAGTGTTTTGTTTCGAGACTTTCTGCCTAGAGTATCGAAAGTGCGCAAGCATGATTATCATTGCAAATGCTCAGGGCCCGAGTAGCCGATTGAATTTTTTTGTTTGGTTAATGTCCAATCATCTTCCTCCCCAGAGACTGCCATTTCCTCAATCAATTCTTCCTCCTCAGAGGTGGGAACTTTTGTGACTTCTGTAATTTTTGATCGTTGGGATTTGAGGACATTGATTACAATTTTTTGGTATAAATCCCCATAAGGTCTTTCTATACCACACCACCAGGTGCCTGCATCCGAATCAGACAGCTGTGTTATCTGAACTCTTGCCCCATCACTGTTTTGTATCTTTGAAATTGAGAACCGAGACCCAATCGAGTGGCCTCGGCGTGTATTGGCCACTACCGAGTGCCAATTGTAGGGGCCACACGGATGTTTGCAGAAATACTTTTCATCACGCTGGTGGCGGAAGTGAACTTTAGTTTTACCCGAATCCCTGTAGGGCCTAGGGTTGCAGTCGAAGGAGATGGTGCTCCCTTTTTCCCCTGAGACATGCTTATCTTCGTTTGCTAGGACAAGACTTCCCACTCCTGTTAATAATAATAATGTAAACATGGCGGGAATTGGGCAGTTACCTGATACCCGCAGTGTTTTCTTGAGTCTTCACTGGGTTGAGGTGAGCGTATCCTTGTGCATACACCCCCCTTTGTAACCAGACTTTAACACTTACGTGGTATTTTCCTGTCCAATTCCCTCTGTTACCTTTTTACAATGTGTCAAATGTATCCAAGTAGTTCTTTCTGCAATTTTAACAGCGGTGGTGGGAGTAGTCAGGAGGACTTGAAACGGTCCCTTCCATTTAGGGTGATGCCAGGTCTTTCTTTTTACGTCTTTAATCAGGATCCAGTCTCCCGGTTGCAGCGAGGGGACCAACGATGTCTCGGTGATAGTCTGAGGGGGTAGAATATTAAGCATTTCTTTTTTATTAGATAGCATGTTTCTCATGTAGTCGGCTGGACATGCTTCCTTTAACTGCCCCTCGTTGTCTCCCAACTGGGGAATGCGATAGGCTTTTCCCTGTACTATCTCGAATGGTGATAGTGGTTTATTCCCTCGGACAATGCGCATGCTAGTAAGTGCCAATGGCAGGCAGGCTACCCATCCCTTGCCTGTTTCCTGCATTGCCTTTTTTAATTTATTCTTAAGTGTACCGTTATGTCTCTCCACTAATCCGGCCGATTGAGGGTGGTAAGCGCAGTGCTTTTTCAGTTTTATGCCTAATTGTTTTCCGACGTGATCAAGGACTGCATTTCGAAACTCGGGTCCATTATCACTATATAGGACTTGAGGTATTCCCCACCTCGGTATTATCTCGCGGCATAATATTTTTGCTACCGTTAGTGCGTCTATTTTTGCGGTGGGGAATGCCTCCACCCACCCTGAGAATGGGCATATCATTACCAAACAATGCTGCTTTCCCTCACTTGGCGTCAAGTGAATGAAATCCATCATCCAATGAGCAACTGGCTCTGAGGGGGGGGGGTATTTGTCCTTTTGGGCATTTTACTCCTCCCTGTGTGTTGTTTTGTAGACATGTAAGGCACTTTTTACAAATTTGTTTTGTATAGGATGAGAATCCGAAGGTTGTATATCTCCCATTTATTATCGATACCATCCCCCCTTTTGAGACATGACATTTACCGTGGCTCAATTCCGCCGCAATAGGGAAAAGTGCTTTGTTTACTGCTTGGATGTCCTGTACCAATCGCCACCCGACGGAAGGAGTGACCTTTTTTACTGGAAAGAGTGGGGTGTTACAAGGGGAATCAGGACACGGAACAATGACCCCTTTTTCTTTTAATTCTTCAATAATGGGTTTAATTCCTTCATGTGCTTCCGGCGAGATGGGATACTGTCTTTGGTATGGTCTGAAGGTGCTTTTAGGGTTAATTTTAATGGGCTCTACTCCCTGCATTAACCCAACATCCGCCGGACCCTGTGACCACAAAGATTCTGGGATTTGGTTTGACGCTTTTTCCAAATCTGCACTGAGCCCGATTAGTCACGGTCTCGCAGGGGGTCCTCTCATGAATCTTGCCCGTATACAATGAGCCACCCAATTAAGTTGTTTGGAGAATACTTTTCCCTTTTCTGAATACCAGATACCTGGTTTTTCTGTCTCCTTCCAATCAGTCAGCCTCCTTCCCTTATCGACACATACTCCCACATTTTCCCATTCCTCCCCAACGGCTTTAGCCACTGAAACATGGGGAAAAGTTTCATTTTTATAATTTAACTCATCCTCGGGCTGCAGAGCGACCAAACATCCCATTGTGGAATCGTTCCAGAAAATTGTTTTCAAGGTAATCCGAGTAGGGCTTTTTAATTTATCTAATCCAAACTTCTTTCTCCACATGAATTCTGGTTTCCCGCTCCCCGTAACTACGTCCTCCATACGTCGGCCATTAGGAGATAATTCCACTTCCTCTACTCGCTTACAACACGTACAACAACCCCCTTTACCATTTCTATTGCCCATGTTTAATTGTATTTGACTTATCTCAATCAGACACTCGTTATTCGCATATATATATATATATTTGTTTCGGGTAGTCCCGTCACTCACCCACTCTCCCGGTTTGCCCCCAGACCGGCTCCACCACTCACCCCACTTGTACGTCGAGGACGACTTTCTCTCAGGGGGATCCTCACCGTTTGAGGCTGTAGAGTGTGCGAGCAAATTATCCCAGATAATTCTTGTATACGGCCTTTCGATCCTTCTCGATCTAGGTCCGCCCAGCGGCGGGTTGTCCCGGACAACTCACGTATACAACGACTGGTCTGGCGGGTTTACCGTAGGGTGCGATGAGATGTTGGGATCCCGGACGAGCCCCCAATTGTTAGATCCGCGAATTATGTGTCTGTATTTGGAGAGAAAAAATCTGATACAAGTAAACTTAAGAAACAAAGAATGGGTTTTTATTTCTACTTGTATACAGGAGCACACAATTGTTCCTGTATACAAATAGGATCTAATGTCTCCGTCAGACAAAAGATCCTCTTCTTCGGTACCAATAAGTTTTATACAGGAGTACACAAAGGAAAGAGAAGGGGTGTTAATCCTTACAGACCAATCCGGTTTGCTGCATGCGTTCCCACACTTCTTGCAGTTTTGCTAGAAGGCCATTTCTATATTATCACCCGCCGTTCCTTACACTGTGGCCTTCAGATAACGGGATTCTACAATAACAAGTCTAACCTACTTACTTATGTCTGCTTAAAGGTGTCTACACAGCAATAGGCCAGGGCACAAGCTACGATTTACAATTAAACATACCATAACATCTTTTTCCTCTATCAGGATCAACTTCCACATGTATATGGATGACACCCAACTCTTTGTCTCTTGCCACCACCCTTGACTCCAGGCCCCACTGCTGTCCTGACAGAATGTCTGTCAGACATCAAGTCCTGGATGAGAGTGAACTTTCTTCTGTTGAACATCAACAAGAACCGAGGCTCCTGATTGTCTCCCGTCAGCACCTCCTCACCTCAGGCGCTGACAGCATCATCATCCATGGGGCTCACTGCACCTTGCTAAGCCAGTCCCGAACCTTGGGGTCTTGTTTGACCCTCAACTATCCTTTCTACCCCACATCTGCGCCATGATCTGCTCTGCCTTCCCCACCTCCACATCACCCGGCTCCACCACTGTCTCATACCGCAGGCTGTCGAAAACTCTCATTCACGCATTCATCACATGTAGGCTTAACTACACCAACTCCCGGCTTGTCGGCCTCCCCAACTCTTCCCTCCACAAGTGGCAGATCATCCAGAACTCATGTCCTCTCTAATTTTGTATTGTAATGCCAAACTCTCTTTGTCCCCTGGCACTGTTCCCTTCCTCTTTAAAAAGCTATTATCACCCCCCATTCTTAAAACAACCTTCCCTCAACCCTGTTCCCTAACTACTGTTCCATTTCCAACTTTCCTTTTTTCTCCAAGGTTCTGAAATGAGTCATTGCTTCCCAGCTTCACTCTTTCCTCTCCCTGCATGAACCCCTCTAATCTGGATACCACTCTGCTCTGGTCAGTCACAAATGACATTCTCTCCCCCTGTGACCAGGACTCTCGCTGCCTCCTTGTTCAACTTGATCTCGCTCCCGCCTTCCACACTGTTGACCATTCTATTCTTCTCCACTTGTTGGGATCGAAGATGCAGCCAGCAGTGGAATTAATCTCACCTTCAAGGCCCTCCACGGCCTTGCCCCTTCCTACCTCTTTGACCTGCTAATACCATCCTGTCCGCTCCTTCCGCTCAGCAGGCTCCAGCCTGCTCCATGTCCCCCACCCCACCATTGGCGGTCGGGCCTTCAGCCTCTCTGACTCCACCCTTTGGAACTCCATCCCACAATTCCGTCATCTCACCTTCTCCCTTACCTCCTTCAAGGTATGTCCCAAGATCTTCTTCTTTGACCGTGCCTTCAGCCACCCTCCAATTCCTATCCTCCCTGCCCTCCTGATTCCAACCCCCTGTTAGAGTCCAAATCCCTGACTGTCCAGCACCTTGGGACATCCTCCTGATGTGAAAGGTACCGTGTGAATGTCATTTGGTGCTGTTTTCCAACTCTTGCATTTGAAGGTGTGGCCAGGGTGGGATTAACCCTCTGTTGAAGCCTGGGCCACAAAGCGTGGCCAGACATATGGCACTTAAATAACCATCTTATTCTTGATAATCAAAACTTTAAACCAAAGTCACCAGTGGTCAAGCAATAACCAAGGAGTCCTGCAGCTCAGTGGTTAGAGCACTCATTCCTGGCAGGGTGAAACCTTGGGCAAGTCTCCTTACTCCACACGCCTGATGATAATCCCTCGAAAAAAGTAAAATAATAATTTGGTCACTCAATTAAGGAGGCAAGGGAGGGAGTGAGGTGAAGGGAATGTGGGAAAGAGTTCCGTAGGGCGGGGGCAGGGAGACTGAAGGCCCAGCCGCCGATGGTGGGGTGGGCTGGGTGGGGGGCGTGGAACAGGGATTGATATGGGATTGATATGAGGATGAGGATTTCAAACTTTATTCTCTGGGGGATGGGGAGCCAATGGCGCCCGGTGAGGGTAGAGGTGATGGGGTCATGGAGCCTGGTGCAGGAGAGCACATGAGCTGCAGAGTTCTGGATGATCTGCAGCTTGTGGAGGGAAGAGTTAAGAAGGCTGACAAGCAGGGAATTGGCGAAGTCGAGCCTCGATGTGATTAATTTTCCGGCCTGAGGGGTGAGTTAGTGGCGGAGCTGGGCAATGTTGCAGAGGTGGGGTAAGGCAGAGCGGGTCATGGCACAGATGTAGGGTAGAAATACAAAAGACTTCCTTTCAAATTTAATTTACAGTTACTCGATTTTTCTTTGTTTTATAAAAACAAATGCCTAGGCAACACAACAATGATTTTATGATAAATGACAATTCATCTTATTTTATTTAATGATAATAAACAAATATCAGAAATTTGCCTTTTGGGAGCAATTAAATAAAAACTAAATCCCCAACCTTCTGTCGTGGGCTATTCACACACTTCATCCTCCTAAATACCAACTGTGAACTTTTTTGTGGTAGTCCTAAATCGTCCTCTGAAAGAAAGAATCAATGTAAACTTTCCTGGATTCACATGGCAAGATCTTCCTCCCATCCTGAAACCAAAGGCATGTGTCCCTTTGAAAGGAAGTCTATTGTACGTATAGGTATTAGGATGTAAGTGCCCTATGTTAACCCAGGCACATGTGATGTAGATGTGAAATAAAAACCTTGGCATACCTTTTGAGTTGTTTTACTTATGTTCCATCCTTTTGGTGTTCCTCTAACTTTGGGGATCCATCCTCATTGCTCTCCTCATCAGTGCTTCTAGGGCATAGGTAACCCCCTTATATCTCAGAGACCAGAACTGTAATATATACTCCAGACTGCAGTGGAATCTCAATTTAGAATAAAAACAGCTTGATGCTGTGATGACATAGTTCTGGAGCTATGAGATCAGATGGGCCAAAGGGCCTTCTTCATCCTAACCAATTTTGTGATCTGCGAGACCCATTGTGCTAGGATCTGTTACTTTCTGCCTCACTCCAACATCACTTTATGCTCAAAATAACAGCCAATGTTTCCCAACGACCAGCACCAGACAGCTGCTTTCTATAATGGCCTTCAACATCCACATCTTTCCTCTGTGCCAGAAGAACAGCAAGCTTCAGACGGGATGGCTCCAGGCAGCCTCAAGTAAACATTGACTTAGATTGCATTGTTTTGGGCTGAAACAATGAGGAAACCAACATTTTAATTTATAATGATTCTTCAACCTGAAATTCTAACACTTACCAAGAATATAAACTACCTCATGTATTGTGTGGTCTTAGCTTTTCATTCTTTTCATCAACAAATTACATTTATATATGCAGACTAATATTTAAATAGAGGACAATGTTTCTAAGTTTACAGATGACATTAAACAAGATACTGCAGTGAATCATGAAACGAGCAGAGAACAAGAACAACAACAAGATTCCATTTATAGAGCGCCCTTAAGGCCGGGAGGACGTCCCAAGTCGCTGGACAGTTGGGTCAGGACCCGAGCAGGGGGGAAATGGTCAGGGTGAGGGGAGGGAAGGGAGGGAGAGAGGAGGGGGGAAATGGTCAGGGTGAGGGGAGGGAAGGGAGGGAGCGAGGAGGGGGGAAATGGTCAGGGTGAGGGGAGGGAAGGGAGGGAGCGAGGAGGGGGAAATGGTCAGGGTGAGGGAAGGGAAGGGAGGAGCGAGGAGAGGGGAAATGGTCAGGGTGAGGGGAGGGAAGGGAGGGAGCGAGGAGGGGGGAAATGGTGAGGGGAGGGAAGGGAGGGAGCGAGGAGGGGGTAGAGAGTCGAGAGCGGAGCTGAAGGTTGAAGGTCAAAGAGAAAGGTCTTGAGACCGGCCTTGAAGGAGGAAAGGGAGGAAGCGGCGAAGGCACTGGGGATGGAGTTCCAGAGCCTCGGGGCTGAGAGGCTGAAGGCCCAGCCACCGATGGTAGGGCGATTGGGGCGGGGGATGTGGAGCAGACCGGAGCCAGAGGAACGGATGGAAAACATAATAGCAGGATTCAACACATCACAGCAAAGTCCAGGTAAATTAAATTCAGTGGCATCATGTAACATCACTTGGCTAAATATACTGAAGCCTGCATGTCATTCAGTCATTCATACTTTCTTCCAAGGTGACAGCAACAGGAGGATTATGTGGTCCAAACCTTTGACAAGATGACAAATGAAGTTTAACACACATTTTTATTTTCTTGGACTGACACATAACCATGCCAGCGTATCCAAACCAGACCTGAGAGTTCCATGTATGTAACCTACACATGTAAATACCCATGTTTGGAATGGAGGGTGTACTCTATCCCCTGAAGGATGTATACTGCTTACCTAATTTTAGATAGTATTTTATAATACAACAATAATCCTTGCATTTGATTTAACATTTTTTCATGTTGTTGAGATGTCTCAAAGCACTTCACAGAATATACTATAAAGTGGTGGATTATGAATACGTTTGTGGGTGAAAGTGGCAGCGAACTTGCACACAGCAATGGCTCACAAATAGCTAAACAATGAGTGAAACATTTTATTTAATAATAATAGTAATCCTTGCATTTGATATAGCGCTTTATCAAGTCTTCAAGACATCTCAAGCGCCCAATAGTGTCTCACAAACAGTCGTGAATTGAATGACCAAATTATTATTATTTATTTTTTGAAAGGGATTATCACCCCCAGAAAAGCGATCCACCAATCGATCAAAAACTGGGTTGCTACTTACTGCTAAGTGAACAGAGGCGTGTGGAGTAAGCAAACGTGGCCAACGTTTCGCCCTACCGGGAATTGAACCCAGGTCTCTTGCTTCCGAGGCGAATGCTCTAACCACTGAGCTACAGGACTCCACATTTGGGGGATTGTTGACCAGGACACTGGGATAAACTCTCTTTTGTTTTCTAATGCAAGGTACAGACTGGCAGGAGACAAAGCTTGGGGACCCCAGAGTGCGTGTTGGGCACTGTGGCAGTTTAACCAGCTGAAACCGCATAGCTTCCTATTGCACGCACTGTCAGGCAAGCTTCGCACTGCTTGTCCAGCTGGGACCACCCTACCCAATATGGCTTTGGCTTGTAGGAACTGAGAAGGAAGAATCCCTGTCTCCAGTCTACATCTCCAAGTCCCAATCGTGAGTCAGGATGGCTGGTCTGTCATCAGCAGTGACAGGTTACTGTGGCCTTGTCTGAATCAGGATTTGGATTACTGAGAACACCACAAAGGACTCGATTCTGACATTCCAGTCCATCACGTCACCTTACAGCTAGTTCAGCTCCAGCTTATGGTCCCCCAAGGAGAATAGTTACTTAATTGTTCATTTGACATCTGCCAATACAACAACAACAACAAATTACATTGGTCTCGCCCCTTAACGTTTGAGGCCTCACTGGGTTGATGGCAACGTACCAGAATTCCCTGTGGGCTTCCTGTTGAGCAGCACAACTCAGTGTGAAATGCAGGAAAGCATTGCCACCATCTTGTCAGTGTGTGAATCCGCCTGGCTCAGTGTAGTACTCTTGCCTCTGAGTCAGAGGTTGTGGATTCAAGCCATATAGGGTCTTGGAATCACACAGTCTAAGATGACAGTCCAATGTGGTGCTGAGGGTGTGCTACATTTCTGGAGGTGCCATCCTTCGGATGAGACATTAAGCAAGGTCCCATCTGCACGTTCAGGTGGACATTAAAGATCCCATGGGATTATTCTAAAAGAGGAGTGAGTTTCTCACAGTGTTCTGGACAACAATCCCCCAGTTATTCGATGGCTGTTTGTGGGATATTGATGTGCGTAATTGGCTACCACATTTTGCCCCAAAAATACACAGTGAAAACCACTTAACAGCATATCATGTGAAGCTCTTTGAGATGTCCTGACAACATGATAAAACGCTATTATTGTCTTCCTGCCCACAGCTTAGGCACACATCCAGAGCAGCTGGAGGTGTGAAACTTGTGCAGCAGCTACTTATCTCCATGCATACAAATCAAAGTGGAATCCAAGCCCTGGATATATGAGTGTGTATTCACACACACTGCTGCAGGTAAGGTAGCAGCTCAGTGTCCTCAGCAGCTATTTGAAGGCATCTGAGTAGTGGATGAACCTTTACCGGATATAACAACAACAACAACAACAAGATTACATTTGTATAGCGCCTTTCACGTTGGGAGGACGTCCCAAGGCGCGGATACCTTGTGATGTGCCACCACCTTGATGTTCCAGAGGTTCAAGTCCAATGTCACGACTTCTTAATTCAGGTCCAGGCATGAGGAACTTTGGTAAACAGGTATGCCAGCTGTGAAGCAGACTCTGCCTCCAAGAGGGCTCAGCAACAGGTAAGTGTAGGCTGGAACTGTTCCTCCCTGTGCCACTTTCCCTGTTTACCACAAATCTACCTTACTGCCTGATCCTGGACTTCGCAAATGGGTTAAAGGAAACCCATCCACTGCATTCCCAGGAACTAAGAACCATGAAGGATAATTGTTTGAACACAAGTCTTTACGTCACAACCTCCATTGGGATCGAAACACAAAATAATAATAATAGTAATCCTTGCATTTGATATAGCGCTTTTCACATCTTCTCGACATCTCAAAGCCCTTCACAGGATATACTGTAAAGTGAATTGACTGTATATTTGTGGGCGAAACGCGGCAGCCAATTGTGCACAGCAATTATACTGCAGATGCTGGAAATCTGAAACAAAAACAAAAGTCACTGGGACCTTGCTGTCCTTGAGAATGGACGAAAACGACCAGAGTACCCTTTGGCCCCCTCCCCACCCAGCCACTGGTCACTCAACTCCCTCCTCTCCTCCCTGCTGGCCGACACGGTCAATCACTCTCTCTCCTCAGGCTCTGTTCTTCTCCCCCTGAAAGCTGCTGTTATCAGACCCTCCTGAAACCCCCCCCACCCTCAATCCCTCTAATCTCTGACACTCCCGGCCCATCTCCAACCTGCCCTTCCTTGCCAAAGTCCTGGAGTGCATTGTTGCAGATCAACCTTGGTCACACCTCTCCCTGTGCTCCCTCCTCGAGCCCCTGCAGTCTGGTTTTCTTCCTGACTGCCCATAACAGAGACAACACTTAACTAAGCCACAAACTACATTCTCTCCATCTGTGACCAGGGCTCCCTCTGCCTCCTCGTCCTCCTGGATCTCTCTGCCCTGTTCGACAAAGTCGACCACGCCATCCTCCTCCACCGCCTTTCCTCCCTCATCTACCTTATTGGGACTGCACTCACATGGTTCGAGTCTCAGCAAATGGTTTCTCCTCCCGCCCAGTCACCTGTAGGGTTCCCCAGGGCTCCATCCTTGGCGTCTTCTTTTCCTTATCTATATGCTCCCTCCAGGCCATGTCATCCGCAGACACGGGGTAAACTCCCACATGTAAGAGGATGACACACAAATCTATTTTGCCTCCAGCACCAGCTCCAGATCCCCCCGATGTTCTATCAGCTTGTCTGGCAGACATCAGGGTCTGGATGAGTCTAAACTTCCTGCAGCTGAATATGGACAAGACAGAAGCCATATTCCTCGGCTCCCGTCAACGCCTTCACTTCTGCGGATCTAAACTCCTCAACCTCCCTGGACTCCCCCTCAGACTCACAGAACCAGTGCGCAACCTTGGCATCCGGTCCCTGACCAGGAACACCTTCCACCTCCACCACATTGCCCGCCTCTGACTGTATGTTACCCCAAATGCAGCCGAAACCCTCTGCATGTGTTTGTCACCTCCCGCCTGGATTACTCCAACGCACTCCTCGCCGGTCTCCCCAACTCCACCATTCACAAGATCAGCTCATTCAGACTCTGCCGCCCCCATACTGACACCCACATACCGCCCAAACTCCACGCCCACATCTCACCAGCTCTGGCCCAGGCTTCAGTGGCTCCCCATCACCAAACAGATCGACTTCAAGATCCTCACTCTCATGTTCAAATCCCTTCCCTCCCTGGCCCCTCCCTCCCTCACTCCCTCACTCTCCAACCTCCTCACTCCCCAATCCACCACCCGGAGCCTCCGCTCAACTTGGACAGGTTCCTGCACACCCTCTGCTCCACCATCGGAGGTCGCGCTTTCAGCCACTGCGCCCCCAAACTCTGGAACACTTTTTCTCAATCTCTCCGTTTTACCCCCTCTCTCCCCTCTTTCAAGTCCCGCCTGAAAACTTTCTTCTTCGACTGTGCTTACGGCCACCTCCCCCTTCCCCCCGGCTTGGAGTCAGGCTCTGCCACTGTTAAGCGCTTTGCGATGCTACCCTGCGTGGAGGGCGCTGTATCAATGCAAGTTGTTGTTGTTGAAGCAAAAGTCGGCATTCACCACAAATTCGAAGAATCAGACAATTAGGACTGATGCCCTTTGTATCTTTCCATCTAAACTCACAAGATCCCCTCTTGAGCAGTGCAGGGTTATAATTCCACACTTGGGGATATCACCATCATGTCCCACTGCTCTCAGGGTTCAAGATGGTGAGTGCAGTACACGAGACCCCACAGGTGAGTCCAGGACCTCATATTTGGAGTTGGAAGTGAGAATAATAATCGTTGCATTTGATCAGGAGGAACGGATTAAGGAGTTGTTCGATGGTGAAAAGTTCAACTTAACGTACTTTTTTTGCTGATGATACAATGATGAAATGTCAAATTCTCAAAGTGATTCACATGTAATTGTTGTGAAGTGCGATGCCATTGCATCTGTTTGCGGATCCAGCAGCCATTTGTGCATCGAGGTGCCTCGTCAATCTATCTGGAGGATTGCTGGCTACAGCACGGGTAGAACCGGGTGAAAACATCAGCAAGTATTTTTATATGTATTGTCTAATTGGAGTGCAAGACGCTGACGGCCCGGGTCAGTGCCGCTTTAAGACGCTGAAGGCCCGGGTCAGTGCCGCTTTAAGACGCTGAAGGCCCGGGTCAGTGCCGCTTTAAGACGCTGACGGCCCGGGTCAGTGCCGCTTTAAGACGCTGACGGCCCGGGTCAGTGCCGCTTTAAGACGCCGCCTCACGCTGCTGACCCGGGTGGGACGCTGCGCATGCGCGCTGGGCTGCCTGGCGGGAAGATGGCGGCGAGTAAAACGTTCGGACAAAAACCAATAAAGTTCCAGTTGGAGGAGGCGGGAGAGTGGTACATGATCGGCTCTGAGGTACCGCGGCCCACACCCCCTCTCTCTCTCTCTCTCTCATTCCCCCTCTCTCTCTCTCTCTCTCTCTCTCTCTCTCATTCCCTCTCTCTCTCTCTCATTCCCCTCCTCTCTCTCTCATTCCCCCTCTCTCTCTCTCTCATTCCCCCTCTCTCTCTCTCTCTCTCTCTCTCTCTCTCATTCCCCCCCTCTCTCTCTCTCTCTCTCTCTCTCTCATTCCCCCTCTCTCTCTCACTCCCTCTCATTCCCCCTCTCTCTCTCTCTCCTCTCTCTCTCTCATTCCCCCTCTCTCTCTCTCTCTCTCTCTCATTCCCCCTCTCTCCTCTCTCATTCCCCTCTCTCTCTCTCTCCTCTCTCTCTCTCTCATTCCCCCTCTCTCTCTCTCTCTCTCTCTCATTCCCCCTCTCTCTCACTCCCTCTCATTCCCCCTCTCTCTCTCTCTCTCTCTCTCATTCCCCCTCTCTCTCTCTCTCCTCTCTCTCATTCCCCCTCTCTCTCTCTCTCTCTCATTCCCCTCTCTCTCTCTCTCTCTCTCTCATTCCCCCTCTCTCACTCCCTCTCATTCCCCCTCTCTCACTCTCTCATTCCCCCTCTCTCTCTCTCTCTCATTCCCCCTCTCTCTCTCTCTCTCTCACTCTCTCTCATTCCCCCTCTCACACACTCTCTCTCATTCCCCCTCTCTCTCACTCCCTCTCATTCCCCCTCTCACACACTCTCTCTCATTCCCCCTCTCTCTCTCTCTCATTCCCCCTCTCTCTCACTCTCTCTCATTCCCCCTCTCTCTCTCTCTCTCTCCTCTCTCACTCTCTCTCATTCCCCCTCTCTCTCTCTCTCTCTCACTCTCTCTTTCCCCCTCTCTCTCACTCTCTCTCATTCCCCCTCTCACACACTCTCTCTCATTCCCCCTCTCTCTCTCTCTCATTCCCCCTCTCTCTCACTCTCTCTCATTCCCCCTCTCTCTCTCTCTCTCTCTCTCACTCTCTCTCATTCCCCCTCTCACACACTCTCTCTCATTCCCCCTCTCTCTCACTCCCTCTCATTCCCCCTCTCTCTCACTCTCTCTCATTCCCCCCTCACACACTCTCTCTCATTCCCCCTCTCTCTCTCTCTCATTCCCCCTCTCACACACACTCTCAGTGACTTTCCCTCCCTCTCCCTCTCTATCACACTCACAGACACTCTCTCTAAATAACTCGTACACCCTCTCTCACTCACACTTTTTCTCTCTCTCTCTTTCAATTACTCTCTCACTTCCCCTCTCTCGTACACTCTTTCTCTCCTCTTGCGCTCTTCCCCATCTCTCAATCACTCTCTCAATTACTCTGTCTGACTCCCGTGCTCTCACACATACCCTCGCACATTCACTCTTTCCCTCTCTTTTTCTCCACCTCTCCCTCATGCTCTCTTTCTCTCTCCTTCTCTGTCAATCACTCTGTGTGTCGCTCTCTCTTCCCCCTCACTCTCTCAATCACTCTCTTCCCTCTCTCTTCCTCTCCCCATCTCTCACTGGCATTCTCAAACACACATTCTGTCTCACGCCTCTCACTCTCTCAGTCACTCCCAAACACATTCTCTCAAATCTCACCTTTCACTGACAAAAACAAACTCTCCTCTCAATCACTTTCTCTCTCTTCCCCCCCTCCCACCCGCTCCCTCGCTCCGAATCGCTCTCTCTCTCCCAATCACTCTCACTCTTTCTCTCAATCGGCCAAGAACTTTGACAGTGGGAGCGGCTTCTGTCTGGTTGCGCGACACACTGCACCAACGGCTGCCATTATTCCCACTCATTTATTATTGTTATCATTATTACTGTGTCCTCACATGAGGGAGGAAGGGGCTGACAGCATAGATTCGCTGTTCGTGTAGCCACGGATTTTTTTGCTTCTGAAGCTGAGATTGTAGATTGTAGCCTGTGGCGGACATAAAAAAAAGTTTTGCTCACAAAATATACAGTCAATTCACTTTACAGTAATTGTGATTTACTTCAATTCACCCAAAGCAACGTGAAGCGCTTTGAGACGTCTCAAGGACGTGATAAGTTGCTGTATCAAATGCAAGGATTATTATTATTATAACATATCCTTTCAGGCACTGCCTCCTCCTTCCCTTCAAAACTGCTGTCATAATAAAAGCAGCTTGCACTGCATATAGCACTGTTCATGCAGGCTTGTGCCTCAGAGCGCTTAACAGTGGCGGCGCCTAACACTGAGCCAGGGAGATTGGGGAGATGACTAGTTGAAGAGGAGGGTCTTCAGTTGTGATCTAAAAGAAGAGAAAGAAGCGGCAAGGTGGAGGGATTGCAGGAGAGAGTTCCAAAGCTTCGGGGCGTAGTGGTTGAAAGCGGGCCACCGATGGTGGAGCAGAGGGGACAAGAGACGAGCAAGAGGCCAGTGACAGCCAAGCAGAGGCAGCAGGTAGTGGAGTGGGGTGAAAGCAGGTCGTAAAGGTGGCAGGGTGTGAAGGGATTGGTAGATGAGTGAGAGAATCTTGAAATTGATCCGCTCAGTGATAGGGAGTCAGTGGAGCCTGGTGAGAGGGTGTGTGATGGTAGTTTAGAGTTTAGTGTGGGTGAGTATGTGGGAGGCGGAGTTCTGAATCAGTTGTAGTGGGAGGGCAGTGGAGCTGGGGAAACTGGTGAGGAAGGCATTAGAATAGTTGAGACGGGAGGTGACAAAGGAGTGGATGAGAGTTTTGGTGGGTGTGAGATATGGTCGGAGGTGGGCAATGTGACGGGGGTGGAGGAAAGTTGTCTTCATTAGGGACCAGATGTGGAGGAGGAAGGATAACTGGTGGGGGTCGAATCTGACGCCTAGATTCCGTACGAATTCGGTAAATCTTAGGGAAAGCCTGCAGCAGTTGAGGTCAGAGCCGCGGAGGGAAGACGTTAACGGAAACGAAGGAGTATGACTTCCATCTTGTTCATGTTCAGCTGCAGGAAGTTTGCGCTCATCCAGGCCTTGATGTCTGACAGACAAGCTGACAGGACATCAGCGGTCTGGGAGTCGCAGCTGTTGAGGAGGAGTAGATTTGTGTGTCATCAGCATACATGTGGAGGTTTACCCTGTGTCTGCAGATGACATCGCCGAGAGGGAGCGTGTAAATTAGTTAAACAAGGAGACCAAGGAAGGAGCCTTGGGGTATGCCGCAGGTGATTGTGCCAGGGCAGGAGGAAAAAATGTTTGTGGAGACGAAGAGATGGCGGTTGGTTAAGTAGGACTCGGCCCAGGCGAGTTACTGTAAGCTATAGATTAGAAACTATATTTTGTAGACACCAATTTGTGCTCAGCAATATTCCAATATAGACATGAAGTGAATGACCAATTTTATTGATTGTTGGTCAGGTCACTGGAGAAATGTCCTTCTCTTTTATGTTGTGGGATCTTCAATATTCAACTGAACAGGCAGAGAGGAACCTCAGTTTAGCATCTCATCCGAGAGATGGCACCTCCAACAATGGAGCACCCAACTAGCACTACACTGGAGCGTCAGCCCAAACCGTGTGAGTTCAAAGCGCTTACCTGGGTCTTGAATCCACAAGCTTTTGACTTAGAGGGGAGAGTGCTACCAACTAAGCCATCTGACAACTCATTGTATTGACATGGCGTTGACCACATCTATCATTACTGTCTTACAGGTTGGAAACTATCTGCGCATGTTCAGGGGCTCTCTGTACAAGAGATATCCATCACTATGTAGACGGCTTGCCACAGTTGAAGAAAGGAAGAAAATCGTAGCATCATCACATGGTGGGTACAAAGACTTGACCTTTAACTGGGAATATTTTTAACTTGAAATTCTTGCTGTTCTATTGAATATACTCAAATCATATAGAGATGGAATCAAATGGTTAGATGTTCATCAGCATTTTGTGTCAGGATATTTCAGACTGCTGTTTGAACCTTTTTTTTGCTTTGGGAAGGAGAGGTGGGAAACAAATTCTGCGCTGAATTAAGCAACCAACTACTTGTTGGTTGACAAAGTAGTCAATGCAAATAAATTCCATCACAATGACTGATATTGTTGGTGATCCAACTAGTTCTGAGTTACTGCAGAATTTTATTGATGGATATAATTATGGGTTTATATTTTTATAATCCCTTTTTTCCCTTTTTCTTGTCAGCGAGCTATGCTCTTGCACAGTCTGTTGTTTTACTTCATTCCTGCACACACCAAGCCTTTATTCTGATGAAGTACTTTCGTTTATAACCCTACTGAGATCTAGTTTGAATTTGTCTTCTGCCTCTGCAAAAATCACCAACCTGTTCAAACAACAATTCAATAGAATTTAGCATTGATAAGAGTTCATGGAGCCTCAGCTAAACAATTCTTGGGTACTGGGAACATATTGCAGATCCTGATCCAAAACAATATGGTAAATTTTAAAAGGAAACTTAACAAAATCAAAGTATTTGAATACGGTGCGTTTGGAGATTGATGTGTGTTCTGTACTTGAGCACTGCCTTATGGGCATTTTTGTCCGTGGGTCGTCAGACATGAGGCACTTAGCAGAAGTTTGAGATACTGCTCTCTCCGAGCAGCTACTTCACAGTGCAATTAAAGTTGCAGATCTGACTTGAGTGGAAACAGTTAGTATTTTGTATTCTCTTGCCAGACGGCACAGTTGTGAATACTACAGGTCAGGAGAAGGGCAAAAGCAGTTGAGCTTTTGAGATCTTCCTAAATTAGTGAAAAATCCCTTAACAATTAGTGCTTCAATCATTTTATTTAAAATTTTTCAAATTTCAAGTATTTGTTTTTTTTTAATTGACCAGATCATGGTTATACCACTTTAGCTACCAGCGTGACACTTCTTAAAGCTGCGGAGGTGGAGGAGATTCTCGAGGGAAATGATGAAAAGTACAAGGCCGTTTCCATCAGCACTGAGCCACCAGCGTACCTCAGGTAATAATAACAACTTGCTCAATATAGCACCTTTCAGGTGGGGAAGTGTCTTGGAGCGCTTAACAGTGACGGAGCTTGATGCCGAGTGGGGAAGAGGATGGAGGTGACTGTAGGCACGTTCGAAGAGGAAGGTGTTCAGGTGCAATATGAAGATGGGGAAAGAGGAAGCAAGGTGGAGGGATTGAATAATATATTTTTAAAAAAAACTGTGTGTAAGCATGCACCACCATTTCATTAGGTTTTCTTTCTCAATGTGTCTTGTTGCCTATTCTATTACAGCATGTTAGCTTTTGTAATCGGGATGTAATTCTGCAGAACCTTCCTTTAGGAGATTAAATGTCTGGGTTACATTTTATGTAGTTTATGGAAGAAGGAGTGAATGCATTGCAATTTCCCACAAACAGCCATGAAGTGAATAACCACTTAGGGGATTGTTGTCTGGGATACTGGGAGAAACTCCCTTCTCTTTTCAAAAGGTACCACAGGATCTTTAACATCCACCTGAACAGGCAGGCGGGTCTTGGATTTAACATCTCATCCGAAGGACAGCATCTCCCAATAATGCATATCAACCCAGTACTGCATTTGGTGTGTCAGCATGATTTCCAAGTTCTGACTTGGACTTGAACCCACAACCTTTGGATTTAAATGCAAGAGTGCTTTCAGCTGAGCCAGGCTTGTCTTTAGTAATTGCAGGCGCCGACACCATCAGCATCCAAGGCTGCACTCTCCACCTCTCAAAGCCAGTCAGGAACCTCGGCGTTTTGTTCGACCCTGAGCTGTCCTTTCTCCCTCACATCCGCACCACAACTGGCACCGCCTTCCATCACCTCCGGAACATCGCCAGACTACGGCACTACCTCACCCCTCACGCTGCTGAAACCCTGGTTCACGCCTTTGTCACCTCAAGGCTGGACTATGGGAACTCTCGCCGGCCTTCCCGCCACCTCCCTCCACAAACTACAGGTCATTCAGAACTCTGCAGCTCGTGTACTGTCCCGCACCAGACACCGCGACCACATCACTCCCACCCTCGCTCGCCTCCACTGGCTCCCCATCCCCAAGAGGATTGATTTCAAGATCCTCATCCTCACCTACAAGGCCATTCACGGCCTTGCTCCCTCCTACCTCTCCAACCTACTATCCCCTACCTACCTGCCCGTACCCTCCGTTCCTCTGGCTCCGGTCTGCTCCACGTCCCCCGCCCCAACCGCCCTACCATCGGTGGTCGGGCCTTCAGTCTCTCAGCCCCGAGGCTCTGGAACTCTATCCCCCAGTGCCTTCGCCGCTTCCTCCCTTTCCTCCTTCAAGGCCGGTCTCAAGACCTTTCTCTTCGACCATGCCTTCAGCTCTCCTCTCGACTCTCTTCCCCCTCCTCGCTCCCTCCCTTCTCTCCTCTCACCCTGACCATTTCCCCCCTCCTCGCTCCCTCCCTTCCCTCCCCTCACCCTGACCATTTCCCCCCTCCTCGCTCCCTCCCTTCCCTCCCCTCACCCTGACCATTTCCCCCCTGCTCGGGTCATGACCCAACTGTTCAGCGCCTTGGGACGTCCTCCTGACGTGAAAGGCGCTTTATAAATGGAATCTTGTTGTTGTTGTTGTTGCAGTGGAAGGTCCTTAGCTCACATTGAAGTAAAGTAGACAGGGAGACACAAGGAAAGTGGTGCTGCTTGACCTGCATCTCAGGTTGCAAACTGGAAAATAGAGCGTAGTATGCCAGAATAGGAAACTAAATTCTCAATACAACCTTACCTTAGTTCAATTAGGTCTCTCAGGAATCTAGCCATTTTACAGACCAAATGCACATTTCTGCAATTACAAAATGAACTTTGGTGACTCCACGAGATCACAAAAATGGTTTGGATGAAGAAACCATTTGGCTTGTTTGATCTCATCCTTCAAGAATATCCTTCCTATCATCCACACTCTTGGTGACTTGTTCCAGTTGTTAATTACTCTCCTGGTAAACAAATACTTCTCAGTCTCTGTTCTGAAATGGATCTTTGAATCCCTCAACCTGTGTCCTCTTGTTCTGCTGTCTAACTGGTGCATCCAAAAGTATGAATGGCAGGTCTGTATTCTGAAATTGTTTTCTTATTCTGAAATCATCCTCTGTTTAAACTGAACAAACACTGAACTGTTGGGCATGTGTTGCAGCCAAACATTTTCCTCACAGATGTTCTTTTCACAGAGAACAAAAAGCTAAGCGGAACAGTCAGTGGGTGCCAACGCTACCAAACAGCTCCCATCATCTAGATGCAGTACCATGTTCCACAACCATCAATAGAAACCGTATGAGCAGAGACAAAAAAAGAACCTTTCCTCTATGGTAAGTGGTTTGGAAATTCACAATGCATTTGGTTATGTGATTAAATTGAGCAGGGCTCTCCATTTATACACCTAATATACTTAGCTTCGTTAAATAATCTTGGAGTGAGGAGGAAAAATGGGCATAAGGATTGTAGGGTAATATTCAAAGTCCTAGCTGAAACGTTATGAGGCTCACTGCAGTTGAACAGGTGGTCACATTTTAATACAAAATGGTGTGCAGATTTGGATATAAATTGAGAATTAACTGATGTCACAGCTTTAAGGATCTTAGTGCAGCCTTTACTAAAAGTGCTGCCTTACTTCAGAAATTGCTCCTCTTTTCGCTATTGTAATTAATCATTTCAAGGCTTTAGAAATGTGGAAATGTGTTGGTCATATTGAACTCGGTGGATTTTGGTGAAGGCAGCTCATTTCTGCAAAGAGAATATTTAATGACAACAAGAAATTGCATTTATATAACGCCTTTCACATTGGGAGAATATCCCAAAGCACTGGACAGTCAAAGGTTTGCACCCGAGCTGCAGGCTGGAGTCAAGAGGGGTGCAGGGCAGGGGGTGGGGGAAGGTCACTAGCGCCTTTCACGTCGGGAGGACGTCCCAAGGCGCTGTACAGTTGGGTCAGTCAGAGACTATGGTCTTGAGGCAAGGCAAGGAGCTCCTGGGTGGCGTTTCAGAGTGTAGGTGCAGAAAGGCTAAAGGCCTGACCTCTGATGGTGGAGTGGGCAGGGTGGGAGACGTAGTGCAGACCAGTGCCCACTGACCAAATGGAGCAGGCAGATTGGTAGAGTTTTAGGTTACAGAGGTTGGGAGAAGCAAGACCGTGGAGGTCTTTAAAAGTGAGGACAAGGATTTTAAGCTCAATCTTCTAGGGGATGGGGAGCCAGTGAAGCCGGGCAAGGATGGGGGTAATTAGCTCATGGAGCGTAGTCTAAAAGATGCTATGCAAAACATGCACACAAAATAGATATATACAGTAATATCCACTTTACAGTACATTCTGTGAAGCGTTTTGAGATGATTCAATGATGTGACAACAACAACTTGCATTTATATAGCACCCTTCACGTGGGTTAGTGTCCCAGGGCACTTGATAAGGCACTATATCAAATGCAAGGATTATTATTGTACAATATTATATCTGATACTGCATGGCAGAAGTGGACTGTAAACATGTTACAATCCCAGCACTAATCCCAACCTTCCACTTCATAACAGAACAATCCCCTGATCTGTATGGATTAAATTTCCAATGAGTTATTTTCTATGAAATTATGGAAATTTCATTTGCTTTTATAACTACTGTATTTTGTTTTACTTTACCTAAAGTTCAAAAATAAGTAAATGGTAGTCCACCTACCTCCAATATGGGAGTACTCCTTCAATTGGACAAGAGGAACGGTATGCGAGGAACGGGAGAAAGTTTGTGGAATTGGGATTAGGATGGATAGCTTCTTGGAGGAGCAGGCAACCACGTGGAAAATAGACCAAATGGCCTCCTATCATGCCATATGGTTTAATGGTCAGTATTTGGAGAGGACGAACAAAAGAAATTTGCAGCTTAGAAAAAGGCATTGTGTCTGTGCTACCTGTGAAAGAGCAATCGATTCAGTCACATTTTTCCTTTTACCCTTGCAAATTATCTGATTATCTAGTTCCCTCTTGAAAGCAAACCTGTCAGGACACATCCCCAAAACTCTATTTAAAAAAAATCCTCCCAATTTGCTTTTTTACTCCTTTTTAACTATCGTAAATTGATGCCCTTCAATCACTTACATAATTGATGAGAATATTTGATCTTCATTTCTACTCTGTCAAATTCCTCATTATTTTAACAACAACAACAACAATAAGATTCCATTTATAGAGCGCCTTTCACGTCGGGAGGACGTCCCAGGGCGCTGTACAGTTGGGTCAGGACCTGAGCAGGGGGGGAAATGGTCAGGGTGAGGGGAGGGAAGGGAGGGGGCGAGGAGGGGGTAGAGAGTCGAGAGGGGAGCTGAAGGCTGAAGGTCAAAGAGAAAGGTCTTGAGACCGGCCTTGAAGGAGGAAAAGGAGGAAGTGGTGAAGGCACTGGGGATGGAGTTCCAGAGCCTCGGGGCTGAGAGGCTGAAGGCCACCGATGGTCGGGCGGTTGGGGCGGGGGATGGGGGGCAGACCGGAGCCGGAGGAACGGAGGGTACGGGCGGGTAGGTAGGGGGATAGTAGGTCGGAGAGGTAGGAGGGAGCGAGGCCGTGAATGGCCTTGTAGGTGAGGATGAGGATCTTGAATTCGATCCTCTGGGGGATGGGGAGCCAGTGGAGGCGAGCGAGGGTGAGGGTGAAGGCGAGGGTGGGAGTGAGGGCGAGGGTGAGGGTGAGGGTGGGAGTGATGTGGTCCCGAAGTCTGGTGCGGGACAGTACACGAGCTGCAGAGTTCTGGATGACCTGCAGTGTGGAGGGAGGTGGCGGGAAGGCCGACGAGGAGAGAGTTCCCATAGTCCAGCCTTGAGGTGATAAAGGTGTGGACCAGAGTTTCAGCCGCGTGAGGGGTGAGGTAGTGCCGTAGTCTGGCGACATTCCGGAGGTGATGGAAGGCGGTGCCAGTTGTGATGCGGATATGAGGGAGAAAGGACAGCTCAGGGTCGAACAGAACCCCGAGGTTCCTGATGGCTTTGAGAGGTGGAGAGTGCGGCCTTGGATGCTGATGCTGTCAGCGCCTGAGGTGCGGAGGCGCTGACGTGAGCCAATCAGGAGGGCCTCAGTTTTTCGCACATTGAGCTGAAGAAAGTTGTCTCTCGTCCAGGACTCGATGTCGGACAGACAGCTGTCAGGACATCGGGGGTCGTGGAGTTGAGGATAGAGGAGGAAAGGTAGAGTTGGGTGTCATCCGCATACATGTGGAAGTTAACCCCATGTCTGTGGATGATGTCACCACAGGGGGAGCACATAGAGGGTGAAGAGGAGGGGACCGAGGACAGAGCCCTGAAGGACACCGCACGAGACAGTGCGGGGGGTGGAGGGAAAGCCGTTCGTGGAAACAAAATGAAGACGGTGGGAGAGGTACGACCTAAACCACTCAAGGACAGGGCCTTGAAGGTTGATGTGGGAGGACAAGCGGTGGAGGAGGATAGAGTGGTCTCTATCCAGTTTTGGTCACCCAATTTTAGGAAGAATGCTGAAGTCGTAGATTGAAGCGCTTTGAGACTTCTCGAAGAGATGATAAGGCATTATATCAAATGCAAAGATTATTATTATTATTAGGATATCCTCTGAGATTATACCAAGATTGAGTGGTTTGACTTCCAGCACTGCGAATCCTTACGGGGAGAGTGTGCATGTACGGCTGGTATGGTTTGGGTACTCTTAAACATGGTGATGAATTTCCATTTGTGTTCAGACAAGCAGCTGCCCACCCCCCAAAAAAAATAAAGACTTCTATCAGGTCTTCTCTCCCCTTCTTCTCCCCACCCACCCCAATCTTCTCTGTTCTCGGGAAAATGGGCCCAGTTTGATTTAAATTCAATACGTCTTGTACTGTCTGAAATCCTGTTATTTTTAATTCATACTGAGCTCTGAATGAAATCTTTCACTTGTGTATGATAACATGCTGAGATGAAACAAATACAAGAATGGATTATAGACAGCATCTCATTTTTTTAAAGAAATTACTATTATTTTTCTGCCTTTTAGCTTTGATGACCATGACCCAGCTGTGATCCATGAGAATGCCTCACAGCCTGAAGTGCTGGTTCCTATTCGACTCGACATGGAAATAGATGGCCAGAAATTGAGAGATGCCTTTACATGGAACATGAATGGTAAGCAAGTCATCAACATTTACACATCTCAGTTTTGTGAACACTTAATAAGTCGTTGCAATTGCTTTGCTGTTCCTCTGCTGACACTGGACATGCTTCTTGCTACAGATTATGTCTCATGTTCCTACCCCCACATTCGGTCCATGAGCAGGGATGCTTTTCTCTAGGTCGGCCACATCGCTCATCTCCAATTCTATCTCACCCTAAAAGGCACTGAAACCCTCCTCCACACTGTTGTCACCTCCTGCTTCGATTTCTCAAACCCACTCTCCTTGGTCTTCTCAATTCCACCATCCACAAAGTTCAATTCCTGCAAAACTCAACTACTCATGTCCTCTCTCGCACCAGGCTCTGTGACCCTTCATCCCAATCCCTGCCTTTCTCCACTGGCTCCCAATCACCCAGAGGATAGAGTTCAAAATCCTCGTTGTTGCCTTCAAAGCCCTTCATGGCCTTGCTCCTCCCTATCTCTGTGACCTGCTAACCCCATAACCTGTCGCTCTCCCCTCTCAGCAGGCTCTGGCCTGCTCCACGTCCCCCACCCGGCTAACCACACTATCGATGTTCGGACCTTCAGTCTCCACCCTTTGGAACTCCATTCTATAGTCCCTTTGCCTTGCTCCTTCCCTTGCTTCCTTCAAGGCCTGTCTCAAGACCCTCCTATTCGACCGTGCCTTTGGTCACCCTCCTATCCCTACCCTTCAAGCTCTCCTTCCCTCCAGCTCGAGTCCAAATCCCTGACTGTCCAGCGCCTTGGGAGATCCTCCTGATGTGAAAGGCACTGTACATTTGTAGGCACTACATAAATATAATTTGTTGTTGTTTACTAAAATCCAAGTGACATCAGTGAAAATGGACTGTTTCCTGTCTTGACTGTTGGATGATTTGGAAGCCAAACATGTTACAGTAAAGCTCACAACAGTCGTATCAGTTGGGACCATAGCATTTAATATGACAAAGTATGAGTTATGGCAAACATGCATAAGTCGGATTATATGTGACTTATAATAATAATAATCCTTGCATTTGATATAGTGCCTTATCATTGTCTTCAAGAGCTTCATAGAATATGCTGTAAAGTGTAGTGACTGTATATTTGTGGGCAGAATGCGACGGCCAGTTGTGCACAGCATGTCCCACAAACAGTCGTGGATTGAGTGACCAAATTATTATTGTTTTTTTTTCCTTGAGGGATTATTATTAGGCTCTGTGTGGAGTAAGGAAACTTGCCCAAGGTTTCCCTGCCGGGAATTGAACCCAGGATTTCTCACTTGCAAGGCGAGTGCTCTAACCACTGAGCTACAGGACTCCACAACAAAGTTGCATATAAGTCAAATTTTATTTGATTAACGCATAACAAATATTCAAGCACTGTACTGGCTACTACTATACTGGCTCGCTCTCTCTCTCTCTCTCTCTCTCTCTCTCAGGCCCCTCTCCCTCATGCGCTTGCGTTCTCTCACTCTCTTTCCCTCTATCTCAATCATTCTTCCCTCTCTCCTCTCTCTTCCCCTCTCTGTTTCTCTCTTCGTTTCTCTTGTTCCCCCCTCTGTCAATCACTCTCCCCTCTCTCCTTTGTTTTTCTCATACTCCCATGTGCACCCTGTCCACACACTCTTTCTCCTCCTCTCTCACACACACTCTCAATTACTTATTCCCTCTCTCTCACACTCTCTCTCTCTCTTCCCTCACATTCTCTTGCTCTCCCCTCTCTCCCTAAATCGCTTTCTCTCCCCCTTGCTTTCTCAATCAACCACGTGGCTCATTATCTGGCAGCGACAGAAGCCGGCGGTTGGGAAGGAGCCTCTCTTGCCTTCTCCTCAGCTCCAGAGGGACTTCCTGACGCAATGCAGCAACAGCCGGGATTTCCACTCCCTGCAGCTCAATGCTCTGCAGCATGTCAGGAGTTCTTTCGAGCTGAGGGGAATCCATCCTCCCCACCTGCCCCCGCTCACCATGTGTTTAAGTGCTGCTCTTTCCCCCCACCCCCGGCTGCCATGCACAGTGACATAGATGTTACGCCCCCTTGGCGGATGTTGAGGTACGTATTTTGTGCTGTTCCGGTAAGGCAGAGAAACAAATTTATCTCTGCTCTGTTAAGAAATTTACCGTAACTTATCTAATGCACTTTATTTTATTCCTTAAACGAACCATCAACATCTTAAAATCCATTGTGGGCCAATCTGCTGTCTCCTAACCCGTTTGGTTAATTTATTTCTAACACATTGACGTGTTTTCCTCTAATGATGTATAAGGGCATCTGATGACAGATCATACCTAAATCATTAACTTCTTTCTCTTTTGGATGTTGATTAACTAGCTATTGTGATTTCAGATTATTCTTGTTGGGGGGGGCGGGGGAAGTAAAATGGGTCTCTTCCACCGGGACCTTGGGACATCCGCCCCGATGTGAACTACACTGTACAAATCTCATTTGTATTGTACTTCCACATCACCCAGGATTAAATCTTGTACAGATTTAACATTTCCATTCTTGGTAATCTAGTTCTAGAGCCAGGCAGGTCTGCAGTACTCCAGGGCTCAATGGCAGGACTTGGAAGGGCTTCATCCCACTAAGATCCTGTTAATCCTGCTATCCAAAACCCTAACATGTAGAGTGATCCTAGATGGGCAAGCAACCAGAAACTTGCCACGCTTTGCTTTCAATGTATTTTAGTTGAGTGAACTCCAGCAGTACATCAACAAACATGCTAGAGTCCCCTGGCCTTGGCTTTTGACAACCATATTCTCTGGATTTAAGTAAACAGGATGCTCAGGGAGAGAATACGCATTCCATTCCAGACACAAGGAAATGTCTGTCTGTAAGTCGGATAATTATGTATAACTCTTTCTGTTTTAACAACGACAACATCAACTTGTATTTATATAGTCGCTTCGAGCGGGTAGTGTTTCAGAGCACTTAACAGCGGTATGGTTTGATGCTGAGCTGGAAAGAGAGGAGAGGTGACTGAAGGCATGGTTCGTAGAGGTTAAGTGTGATTTAAGTGCTGAAGGGCACTACATAAATGCAAGTTCTTTTTGTGATTTGAAGATGGACAAAGAGGGGGCACAGATTGAGAGATTGAGGCAAGGCATTCCAGAGATTCAGGGCATAGTGGAGCGGAGGGGACGAGGTACATGCAGAAGATCCGAACCAGCTGAACGAGGCACTTGAGGAGTGGGGTGTGAGCAGATCGGAGAGGTAGGGAGGTAGTAAGGCTGAAGAGATTTTAAAGTGCTAAGGAGGATCTTGAAATCGATCCATTCTGCAACAGGGAACCAATGGAGCCAGGAATGGATGGGGAAGTGGGCAGTAGAGTTTTGAATCATTGGGATCTTGAAGAGACTGGTGAGGAGTGCATTGGAAAAATCGAGACAGGAGGTGACAAAACCGTGATTGAAAGTTTCAGCAGCTTTTGAGGTTTGTAGGCAGGTAATGTGGTGGAGGAAGGCAGTCCTGGTCAGAGACCAGATGTGGGGTCGGAAGGATAACTCGGGATCAAACCTGACGTCAAAATTGTATAAAAGTTTGAGTCTGAGGGATAGGCTGGGAAGGTTAAGGAGTTCAGAGCTGCAGGTGAGAAGCCATTGATGAAAGCCAAGGAGGATGGCTTCCGTCTTGTCCGTGTTCAGCTGCAGAAAGTTGGCGTTCATCCAGGCTTCAATATCAGACATGCAGGGAGTCAGAACATCAGTAGGACTTGAATCCCAACTAGAAGAGGAGAAATTGATTTGAGCGTCATCATGCCTGACACATGTGGAAACCTATCGCTGTGCTTAAGGGTATCCAAACCCAACTGAGAGTTCCATTCATCTCACCTACACATGGAAATTCCCTGAGATGCTTTTTGGAATGGAATGTTTGAATGGAATCTCTTTTCTTTTTCTTTCTTTTGCCACACAACACACAAAACTCTCAATAATTTATTTCTGTCTGTTATGTTCATCTGCTTTGCTATCAGTGTTTCATTTCTCACTTTCTGTCAGTCTCTGTATGTCACTGTCTGTCTTTCTTATTCTCTCACTCTCTATATTTGATTTCCTTTCTCCCTCGCCAATGTCCTTTGCTCAGTTTCTCTATGAATGTACATCTATCTCACTCTCTGTATCTCTCTCTCTCTCTCTCTCTCTCTCCCCCCCTCTGTTTTTGCCACTAACTCTTTTTAAGATCCCCTTTTTACTCTCTATATATAATCACCATCAACACCCTCACTAATCCCCTCTCCGTGGCTGCTGCCTGTCCGCTCTGCCAGCTGCCATTGTCAATCCCTTGATGTCAGGCTGCTATGTTGCTGAGGTAGACGAGGAGAGAGGTGAGTCAGTGACTGGCTCGGGGAAAGGTTGTTGTGCAACACTGGCGGTCTTGGCTGAGTTCCCTGGCATTTTTTCCGAGGCATGATTTAGCACGTCAGGATCCCGAGATTTGGGGTATTAAATCACAGGATTCAGACAACTCACTGGGAGTGTAATTCCTTGTTGGGGTAACTGCTGGAGTCTAAGCGTCTAAAACGGCATAGAGTGCACACAGTCTGGCGACCTTTCCTGCTGCTAAGATCATCCTCCCTGTTAGGGCTTTGGCTGCAGGGTTAACAGGAGCTGAGTGGGATGACTCCCTGACCTCAGTAACTGGTCTGCCCCTCCCAAGTTCTGCCGATAATCCAGGCTGGGCTGTGCTGGAATACAGCAGTGCCTTGGAATACTGTAGACATGTCTGGCTTAGGAACTGGACTACCAAGACCACCACAGGGATCTCAGTAGTCCAGCTCAATTCTGACATTGACTCCATGTCTGCAAGTACTCTTAAGCATGGCAATGAGTTTCTGTGTTTGGCTTATCAAAAACTAATTTCAAATTCTATCCTCATTTACACTGTTGCTAAGATTGTTTATGGAATTTTGGAATATGATACCAAGAAAAACACTTCTCCTATTCCTGTGTCCCATTATTGGGAAGAGCTTTAATGGGCAAAAAAATGTTTCAATCTTGGCTTTTATGTTGTCATTGATACCAGGCCTTTAATCCCATTGTTACACTGTTCCTACAATAACTGGAATTTGTAAGCAACACTTTTCCTATTTACCATTGGTTTGCAGAAAAGTTAATGACCCCGGAGATGTTTGCAGAGATTTTGTGCGATGACCTGGATTTGAATCCCTTAACCTTTGTCCCTGCCATTGCCTCGGCGATTCGCCAACAGATAGACTCCTACCCTATGGACAGTATTCTAGAGGATCAGTCTGATCAGAGAGTTATCATTAAGGTGAGTACCTCAAAATCCTGTATAAAGGGAAAAGCATCATTGTAATAATGCAAATCTATAATATAAAAGACAATCTCTGTGTTCAACACTTACTTAAAAATTCTGCTGCTAAATAATCCCATCCTATAGTGGTATGTTTTTGGCAGTTTTAAATCGATGTAATAAGATGAAAATGCTTTAACTTTGTGCAGCTAAATATCCACGTTGGTAACATCTCCCTGGTTGACCAGTTTGAGTGGGACATGTCTGAGAAAGAGAATTCCCCAGAGAAGTTTGCCCTGAAGCTGTGCTCTGAGTTGGGTCTCGGAGGAGAGTTTGTCACCACAATTGCTTACAGCATCAGGGGGCAACTGAGCTGGCATCAGAGGACGTACGCATTCAGGTAAACGTGCCCTTAAACAGAAAGGGCTGCTTTTGAGTTATCTGGAATATTATTTTGAAATACTCTGCCAATCCCTACCCCCACAGGTTCTGATTTCCCTCATATATGAGTCAATGGCGTTAAGTTTCCCATCACCCCTCTACTACCTCAGCTGAGATAGCAAACTCACCTTCCTGGTCTGTGCGGTTTAATTTACCAACTGAACCAATCCTAGAAGATCCTGTCTCAACTGATCACCTCAGGGGTGACCTCCAATGGGAGATTCTGCTCAATTGGAACAGTAGTCATGAGCTGAGATATCCTTGCAGTTCTCCAAACTGATTTGCATATTGATGTTTTGTTCAAAAATTATTTTACCTTTTAAGTGGATATAACTGTGGAAGTGACCAAGTACTGGTGAAATTGTTTATCCGCCCCACCATTGGCAGTCAGGCCTTCAGCTTTTCTGCCCCCATCCTCTGGAACTCCATCCCTGAATCCCTCTGCATCGCCCCTCCTTAGCCTCCTTCAAGGCCCATCTCAAGACTGTGCTTTCGGCCACACTCGCACCCCCATCCACCTACCCTCCACCCTTCTTGATTCCAACCTCCAGTTTGAGTGCAAACCCTTAACTGTCCAGTTTCTTGGGACATCCTTCTGACGTGAAAGGCACTATATAAATGTAATTTGCTGTTCTATAGTTAGACTGTTATAACCAAAATTATCGAAGAAACGTTTAGTAGAAATAATTGCTAAATTCAGATGAGTTGGAAGAGTGAAACACTTCTGCTCTATAAAATGTGTATTGATCACTGAGAAATGTTTCTAGTGCAAATAGGTGCACTTTACTGTGAGAAATTTCTATAATGTTTTATTTTCCTTCAATCACAGTGAGAACCCACTGCCTACAGTGGAAATTGCAATTCGCAACACAGGAGATGCTGATCAGTGGTGTCCCCTTCTGGAGACACTAACCGATGCCGAGATGGAGAAGAAGATTCGGGATCAGGATAGGAATACCAGGTATATACCCTCAATTTTAAAATGCACCCATTTGTTCAAAGAATTGCTGATTTGGCATACTTTTTAAAATTCTTCCTAGTTAATGGGACCCTCAGCAAAATCAGACTTGTTCCAAAATGCAAAACAAATTCCATATGATTTGTATTTATACAGTGGCTTTCACACCAGGAAGACATCTCAAAAATACTTAACTATAATCTCAAAATGAAAATTTAAAACCTATCTTTAATTGCAAATTAGAATCAAGCCGGTGTGGCAGGGAAGGGCATTGCTCACTGTTTCACTGCTTGTGAGTTTGTTTGTGTAGTTGCTGTGAGGTTACAGGATTTGGCTTTGGGTTGATGGTGAATAGTGGTGAAACACCTTCAGTTGAATCTTTTTTTAAAGTTGTTTTTGAGGTGCCAACTGTGCAACCAAATTCTTGAAGTTGATCTTTTTTTAAATGAAAAATATTTTAGTGCCAGTAATGCTGTTGTCTCAGGTCAAATCTAAATGGGGAACCATAGAAATTTACAGCACAGAAAAAGGCCATTCTTCAAAGCATTCATTGCAGTAATGATTTCTGTCCCATTTACCTGCCCTTTCCAGAGTATGGGATGTCCTCCCGATGCTATACAAATGTAATTGTGTATTGTATGGACCCCTGGAGCTAAGTCATGAAGTTCTAGTTCCCTCTTGACAACCAAGATGGATTCTGCCTCAACCAATGCTCCTGCCAGGATATCCCAACAATAACATTTCTCCTGACCTCCCCAGACTCAACAAACGGGAAATAATTTCTCCCTATTGATTCTGAAAAAAAGTAAATGTAGCTAATTATTCAGAGTATTGAGTGATGGGGTGATTTTTGCTGTGGACCTTTCCCTTGGTGTGTAATGTAAAACTACTGTTTTATGCTAACAGTATTCAATAAGATTTCTGCTTTTAAATATGGCGTTCTTCCCCCTGTTCCTCTATCTGAGAAAGGTTTAGGTTGGGTTTGTGCTTAGCCCCTGCACCATCTCATGACCCCAAGATATCCTACAACTCTCACTGTAAATGCCTTTAAGTGTCTTAATATGTACAAGTAGAGAAGGTGAACTCTTTCAAATTTGTTTTACAGGCGTATGAGACGTCTCGCAAACACTGCACCAGCCTGGTAACTGGCTGCAGCTTATCCTGATCCTGACCCAGGAAAGGAGCAAATCCTCCAGCAACTTACAACTGATAGTCCTGAGAGACGGACAAACAGACATTCCCTGTAACGGCAGTCCACGCTGCTGTGTCACAGACCCCCAACACTGTGTATATAAACACTGATGCAGTCATGTCATTTGCCTCAGAAGACTTCCTCCTAGTATCCAGTCCCCACAGACAGTGTACAGGATTTTTGCCTTAAAACTTTTTTGTATAGGTGCCATTGCACTTCTAGAACAGTTCTTTAAAATAAAGTTCCTAATTTTAATTATAGTGGTTTTATTTTCTAATCTATAATCTGATGTAATCTACTGTGAGCTGTTTGTTGGTTGGGGAACATATTCATATACAGGTAAACCCCAATAGCCGGACTAATGGAGGAGGGGTATTGGGGGTGGGGGAGAGATCCGCTCTGGCCGGTATTGGCATTTATAGGCATTTTTCCGCGTTTCCAGTGTTGTTTTTTAACACGTGAGTATGCTATCTTCTACTTGCGGGATTCAAACAATCTGAGTCAAAGTCAATATCCCTGGCCACTGCGAAAGGTAGTAAGGTGCTGAGGCAGGAAAAGCTCATGGACTATTCAGAGTTGTGCTGGTGTGAATCTACACCCTAGGTTCAAATTCCGGATAGCCAGAGTCCAGTAAACTGGGGGTTACATAGAAATCTACAGTGAAAAGTGGCCCATCAATAATCAATTTGTGGGACACTGCTGTACGCAATTGGCTACCACGTTTCGGCCACAAAATACACAGTCAATTCACTTTACAGTATATCCTGTGAAGCGCTTTTGAGATGTCTCAAAGATGTGATAAGGTGCTATATCAAATGCAAGGATTATTATCACAGCATGGAGATCACTTCAATCCCACCACTACTCTGCCTTATCCCCTTACCCCTTCAAGCCCCTCTTTCATATGACTCAATTTCCTGGTTATTACCAACTCTTGAAAGCTATAATGGTCCGCCCTCAGCAGGCCATTCCACATCACAACTCTCTGGGTGGAAATATGCCTCTTCAGTTCTCTTCTGGCTATCTTATAGTTATGGTCCCCGGTTACTGACTCCCCTATATTGGAAATGACATCTCTCTATCTACATATCAATCAGGTCCCCCCTCAACCTTCTCTGCTCCAATGAAAAAAGGCACAGTCTCTCCATCTCTCAAGGGAGAGCGTGACAAAAAAGAATACAAAGAGGTCAGGAAATTAGTCAAAAAAAACAAGAAGACAGAGGAATTATGAAATTAAATTATCAAGGAATATAAAAAGAAATAGTAAAATATTCTACAGACATAAATAAAACAAAATAGGAATTTGGCCACTATGGGATGGACAAGATAAACCCACAGGCCATAACAGTGAAATGGCAGAAATATTGAACAATGACTTTGCCTCAGTATTCATCAGGGAGATGGATCAGGTGGACATGACAGTGGAAGAAATCGAAAATAATATAAATACGTTTAAGATACCTTTGTATCTTGGGAGATATAATCAAAAAACTAACGAAACTCAGAGGATAAAACCCCTGATCCAGATGGATTGTATCGTGTGTATTAAAAGAATTGAGGGAAGAGATAGCAGAGGCACTATCACACATATATAATCACTCATTAGAAAAGGGACTAGTGCCAGAGGACTGGAGGATAGCTAATGTTATACCTATATTGGTTAGGCTTCACCAGGAATATTACTAGCTCGAGCCACAAAAGGTTCTCAATAAGGTACCACATAAGCTCAGACCGGGGAAACATAGCAGAATGGATAGCAAGCTGGGGACAAAATAGAAAACAGAGAGTAGGGTAAAGGGCAGCTACTCAGACTGGCAGGGGGTGGGCAATGGTGTTCCACAAGGATCGGTATTGGGAACCCACTGTTGTTCACAATATACATTAATGATTTGGTCTCTGGGATCAGTTGGACAATTTCAAAATTTGCGGATGATACCAAATTGGGGGAATAGTTAATACAGAGGAGGACGTCAACAAATTACAGCAAGACATTAATAAACTTGCTGAGTGGGCATTTGAGTCCTGTAGCTCAGTGGTTAGAGCACTCGCTTTGCAAGCGAGAGACCTGAGTTCAATTCCAGGCGAAACCTTGGGCAAGTTTCCTTACTCCACACAGAGCCTAATAATAATCCCTCCAAAAAAAAAACCCCAAACGATAATAAATTGGTCATTTTCAATCCACGACTGTTTGTGGGACATTGCTGTGCGCAATTGGCTGCCGCGTTCGCCCACAAATATACAGTCAATTCACTTTACAGTGTGTTCTGTGAAGCGCTTTGGGACGTCCTCCCGACGTGAAAAGCGCTATATCAAATGCAAGGATTATTATTATTATAAATGGCAAATGCATTTCAATGTAGAAGAGTGTGAGGTGGTACATTTTGGTAGAAGGAATAAGGAGGTCACATACATCCTGGAAAATAAAAACCTAAATGGGGTAGAGGAGCAAAGGGATCCAGGGGTACGCATACACAATTCACTAAAAGTACCAACGCAGGTTAATAAGGCCATAAAAAAGGCAAACCAGGCATTGGGTTCATTTCTAGAGGGATAGAAATGAAAAGCAGGGAAGTTCTGGTGAACTTCTATAGAACCTTGGTTAGACCACACTTAGATACTGTGTGCAGTTCTGGTCCACATGTAGAGACCCTGGAGAGGGTGCAAAGGAGATTCTCAAAGATGATCCCAGAACTGAGAGGTTATACCTATCAGGAAGGACTGAACATACTTTTTCTCTTGAAAACAGGAGGGTAAGGGTTGACCTGATAGAGGTCTTTAAAATGAGGAAAGGTTTGGATTGGGTAGACATAGGGAAGATGTTTTCACTTGTGTGAGACCAAAACCAGAGGCCATCAATATAAAATAGTCCTAAATAGATCAAATAGGGAAGTTAGAAGACATTTCTTCACACAGAGAGCAGTGGGAATGTGGAAGATGCTACTGCAAGGAGTAGTTGAGGCAAATAGCAAAGATGTATTTAAGGGAAGCTGGAGAGGTACACGAGGGAGAAAGGAATAGAAGGTTTTGCTCGAGGCTTAGTTGAGGAAGGGCAGGAGGAGGCTCATGTGGAGCATAAACACCGGCGTAGACCAGTTGGGCTGAGTAGCCTGTTTCTGTGTTGTATATTCTAATGTATTCTTCTCATAATGGTAGCCCTTCATCCCCAGAATAGTTCTCGTTCCTGAAGTGAGGTGGCTAGAGCTAGTAATATTCCTGGTGAAGCCTAACCAATGATTTATGCAAACTTAGCATAATTTCTTTACTGTTGTACTATATGCCCTATGTATAAAACTCAGCATATTATTAGCCTCCTTTATAGCCTTTGTCACTTGCAATGCCACTTTCAATGATCTGCGTACAGTAAAACCTGCATAAGTATGATCTGCATAAATCATATAATTGCTTAAGTCATACATTTGCCCAAGACCCGTTGAATTTACTATTAAATATATTTAAATGTATCTGCTCAAGTCGTATTAACAACTTGTAACGTTGATACCACATTTGCCATTGCCGAATTTACCAGGGGCCGGGTCAAAACTTTGTTTCCCGCACCTTCCTCAAACAGACACCGAACATACACACCCCAACACTCCCCGTGCCTTCCCTCCTGGGGCACAACATCAACGTCATCGCATACAGTAGCCGGGGACGGGGTTCGGGGGACAACGACTGAGGAGAGAGTGTCACCTGATCACGCGGTGAGTGAGCGGGTGAGGAATGTCAGATCACATTGAGAGCAATGGGGACCCTTCACCACATGCACAGTTACCAGCCTTGAAACAGCAAACACAGGAACCCAAGTCCTGACCCCTCAGTGCAGTTACCAACTGTAATGCCAGGACCACATGTGCAGCACAGAACAGTCAACAGGTACAGAGGACAAGGTTTTGACCAGCCATCATGTTATCAGGCAATGCAGATAAGATACCCCAATTAAACACAGAATAGTGACAAGGACCTATTCAGGAGAAGTACCAGATTCTCCAATTTTGTGAGCCAAATCCTAAAATGAAAAGCCTCTGTCTTCAAGTTTCAATTGAATGATTATTTAGTTAATTTCGAACATTGTATTCCAAGTTGAAATTAGTTGTGGAGTCCTGTAGCGTATTGGGTTAGAGCACTTGCCTCACAAGCAAGAGACCTGAGTTTGATTCCTGGGCAGGGCAAAATGTTAGGCAAGTTTTCTTACTCCACACACCTCTGTTTACCCAACAGCAAGTGCTCCGGGACGCTGTCCAGCATGAAGGGTGCTATATAAATGTAAGTCATTGCTGTAAGAAGGAACCCAGTTGTTAGTTAATTAGCGGATCACTTCTCAATTCAGTTTAGATTATATTCTGTGAAGCACTTTGAGATAAAAACATTAAAAGGTGTCAAATGCAAGGATTATTATTATCACCTCAAGAACAAGAAAATGTATCATCCTTCATAGAATATATTGTAAAGTGAATCGACTGTATTATCTGTGGGCGAAACGCAGCAGCCAATTGTGCACAACAGTGTCCCACAAAGAGTCGTGGATTGAGTGACAAAATTATTTATGAAGGGATTATTATCCCCGAAAGTGATCCATCAATCAACTAACAACCGGGTTCCTATTTACTGCTGGTAAACAGAGGCGTGTGGCAACAGGAAACTTACCTAAGGTTTTGCTGTGCCCGGGAATTGAAACTCTTCCTTGAGAGGCGAGTGCTCTAACCACTACGCTACAGGACTCCACATAATCCTGCCTCAGGGCTCAGGATGTGTGTATTGTAAGGGACTTTGTAGACTACTTCCTACAATGTGCCAGTGGAGGGGGATGTGCCCACATGGACCTGCCCCACCAACCTGCCCTCACTAGCCTGCCCCACCAGCCTGCCCCACCAGCCTGCTCCACCAACCTGCCCCACCAACCTGCCCCACCAGCCTGTCCTCACTAGCCTGCCCCACCAACCTGCCCCACCAGCCTGCCCCACCAACCTGCCCCACCAGCCTGCTCCACTAATCTATCCCACCAACCTGCCTCACCAACCTGCCCCACCAGCCTGCATCACCAAGCTGCCCCACCAACCTGCCGCCACTAGCCTGCTCCACCAACCTGCCTCACCAACCTGCCCCACCAACCTATCCCCACCAGCCTGCCCCACCAACCTGTCCCCACTAGCCTGCCACACTAGCCTGCCCCACCAGCCTGCTCCACCAACCTGCCCTACCAGCCTGCTCCACCAACCTGCACCACCAGCCTTCTCCACCAGACTGCTCCACCAACC